CACAAACCACCTCAATTATCAGAGCTGAATTTTGTAGCACTCCTTTGAGGGATTCAGGTTTTTTACTGTCCTGCTTTGCTGCCCTTGCAGAACTTAAACATTTTAGACAGTAGAGTCCAGAAATTCAGTGGTAGTTACTAGAACAGAGGTAAATTCAGCCTTCAGATCTATCAATTTGCTCAGTTATATGAGATTTTTGCTGATAAAGTCAGCATTTGTGCTTTCATGGAAGAGAAGCTATAAGCTGAATTGAGATTTCCTTATTTCTTTCTTAAGAACAAGCTCTTTCTGCAAAGCGATTGCAGCTGTAAACCTCTCTGGCAAAGCGATGTTTGCAGAATCACATGGCTTTCTAAATAATTGTTTCACTGCGAGTTCAGTGGATGTATCAAGTTTCCATGGAATAACCGGATCTGCGGTGTGCTATGATCGTGAGAAAAGACAGACGTCCACTAGATGGCACAAACACACCACAGAAAAGCAAAGGGCAGCTGTGATAGCGGAGTCTACGACTCTTCGAGTTAAATATTGATGCAAAGAAAATGAGTACAGGTAGACTGACTGCACATGCAGCTTTAGTCCAGTAACCCACATGTCAGATAAAACAATCTGATGTCAACATAAGTAAAATCTCAGTGCAAAACTTCCTTCAGAGCTTTGTTTACAAGTGGCAATAACCACACTGCCACTCGTTTCTGTTTGTATTAAAAAAAAAAGAAATACACAACTGTATTGAAGCTAAGTAGAAAGAGCCACTGGCATCCACACTGATTTCCCACCCTCCCCCTTTATCATCATGCTGCTGTTGTTGATATAAACAAATAGTCTAATTCCTGCCCCATCACCTTGACGCGATGGAGGCACCACTGGCAAGCCTGTGGTGGAGCAGCTCTGCTCAGACTATGCTCCCTCTGCACAGGAGAGGGAAATACAACGTGATCTATACTAAAAGTCACCATCTACCTCAGTTCAAATGTAGATTAATCTAATATTGAGGGGAAAAAAATGCAATAGAAATTATTTTTATACTCATAATTTTTAAAAGTCAAAAATAACATGGAAAATAAAGCATGATTTCACCATATATGACAAGCACAGGACAATAGAGTCTGGAAGGGACTGCTGGAGATCATCCAAGTCCAACCACCTGCTAAAGCAGGCTCCCTACAGCAGGTTGCACAGGAAAGCTTCCAGGCAGGTTTTGAATATCTTCAGAGGAGACTTTGCAATCTCTGTAGGTAACATGCCCCTGTACTCTATCACCCTCAAAGTAAAAAAGGCTTTCTTTCTCACATTCATATGGAACTTTGTTCCAGTTTGTTTCCATTGCCCCTTGTCCTGTCACTAGGCACACAGCTAGATGACATCCAGGGAAAGGGCAAAGGTCAGTGGGCACAGGCTGGAAAGAACCTGGCACAATCCACCTTACACCCACCCTTTAGATATTTGAAAGCATTGATAAGATCCCCTCTCAGTCTCCCCCAAGCTGAACAGCCTCAGATCAGAGATGCTCCAAGCCCCTGCTCATCTTTGAACTAGGGAGCCAAGCCACAGGACTGCAGATGTATCTTCACCAGGGCAGAATAGAGGTGGAAGATCACCTCTCTTGACCTTCTGGCCATGCTCTTTTTAATCCACCTCAAAATACGTTGGCCTTCTTGGCCACACAGATACACATGGCCAACCTGTTATTCACCAGAACACCCAGGTCCTTCCCTGCAGAGCTCCTCCCCTAACCTGTACTGATGCACGCAGTTATTCTTCCCCAGGTGTAGGACTTTACACTCGCTCTTGTTAAACCTCATAAGGTTCTCCACCCATCTTTCTAGCCTTCCTGGTCCTAATGGATGGTAGCACAGCCCTCTGATGCGTCAGCCACTCCTCCAAAACACAGATGGACAAACTAAACTAATCACACTGCTGTCAGGAAAATATCAGTCACCAAATCAGCTGCAGCTGTGAGCCTGCAGGAACTGAGGAGAGGGTTGGACTAGACAAAGGAGGTCCAGCTACAGCAAGTTGTCCAGGACTGCAGCCTGGCAGGTTTTGAATATCTCCATGGACAGGGAAACTCCACAACCTCACCCAGCAGCCTGATACACCATTTGACCACTCTCACAGAAGACAAAACAACAACAACTGCATTGTTAGATTTAAATGGAGTTCCCTATATTTTCATTTGTGCCCACTGACTTCTGCCCTTTCCTTATCACTAAGACTGTCTCAACCCCATTTGGCATTTATATACACATTTCCTCCAAAGCATTTTCTTCCCCAGGCTGAACACCCCCAGCTCAGTCAGCCTCTCCTTATGTGAGAGATATTCCAGCTATTTCATCATTTTGGTGGTTCTTTGCTGGTGACACCAAGCCCTCTGAGGTACTGAGAGCCTTGCAGAGCCTCTCACTGCAGGAGGTAGTGAGCTGGGGTAAGTCAAGACTGTTGCACCTTAGTGCCCCAGGCTTGATCCCAGCACTCCAGCTGGGGTCATACAGATTCATTTAAGAAATGGCATTTAAATAGGTCAGCCTTCCCACACACGCACCATTTTTGCATGAAGCATTTTACATGAAAAGATGGAAACCCTAAACTTAGCCCTCTTTAATTAGCATCACATAGAAATATCACTGTTTTCAGATTTGGGGTAAGAAAAAAATAGAAGAAATGCATTTTCAAATGAACTCTATAATTGCTCTTTAACATTGTTAATCTAAATTAAAGTTTAGAGACAACATTTGTAACACCATAATGTGATAGAAAGTACAGCAACAATAGCAAGGTGGCAAAGCCTTTGGCTGCAGCAAATGAGGACAAGCAGCAACTGTGGACACAGAAAAAAAGGAAAAAAATCTCTGCTTACCTTTAGAAGACGTCAGGGATCTCCAGCAAGATACCCTTACTTCCACTGCCAACCCTTAAATGAGGTCTGGGAAGGGGTGGATCCTGGCTCCACTCCTTCTGGTTACTCAGATGCACTGCTTGCACCTGAGCTCCCCTGGGTTGGCCCTGCCTTCCCACCAGCTGCTCAATCACTGTTTCAAGTCATGACTTAGCATTTCAGCTACAGTACAGCAGGACACAAAAAATTAAGCACCACTCAAAAAAAAAAAAAAAAAAAACCACAGAAAGTTTAATCAAGCACTTCAAGTTTTAATAAGTTCATTAAAACTATCCTTTTATTCTCTCCACTTTTGATAATACACTTGCCTTGTAGAAAAAGCGGCCCCAATAATTACAGCCTCACCTTTATATTCTTCTTTTTCCTCCATTCCCAACTGTAGAAAACAACAGAAAACAGATTAAGTAAGATTTAATGTCTGCCCTACTCTGCTTTCTACTAACCCGAGATGATGATTAAAACTTGTCATGAGGATGCCATGATTTTTTGGTCTTTCAGCAGTTGAGAACAGCACAGAAGATTCTTTGAATGAAGCCCAGCAGAGATTATCATATCCCTGATTTACATTTGATTTCTTTCATATATGACAGTCCACCGATTTAAATCTTCTACAAATTTTGGCTTGTTTTGTACTTTCAAATATAAAATATTTTATTTTAATGCAAAGTTGTTTAATTCTTTTCTTTTATTGTAGTTGCTTACAAAAATGTATTCAAAATAATAGCAGCAGAAGGTAAAATAATGTCTGAATATCAGCATTGTTTTTGTTTCAGAAAGCTGCACAGGCTTTAGTCACTGCAATGACACTAACTTTATTATACATGTTGTGCTCCATGATCCGCTAATTTTTACAGTTGACAGTCATGTAAGAAGGGTTATTAATGTGTTATGGCTAATAATAAAGACAAAGTATAAATTTCATGTGGGAATAAACATTTATCAATAAGATGGAACATTTGTCTTTTTAATTTAGATTCCAATTTGAAGGCTTTATATGCAAAATAAGGTGTTTAGAAGCCACTGCTGAAAGAACTGAGAGCAGAAAATGAATTAGCATCAAAAAAAACTATTGACTTATTTACAAATGGTGATAAACCATAAGAGACAACAACCTCCCCTATTTCTGTAACTGGCAAATGAGAGATGTCAAAAGTAAAAAGTATGGATGCATACATTTTAAAATAAACAATTCCTTCCAGTGGCTCAGAAGCCTAATCTGATACGAGCATTTTCAGATACTCCTGAATGTGTTCCAAGTTGTTTTTAATTAGTAAAATATAATACATACACAAGACAAACTGCAATATGTAAAATTAAAATATATCAATTTAGCTTGCAATTAGCATTTATCTACAATGATATGAGACAATATTTCTAGTTAACTCAATAATCTGTATAATTTACAACTGTAACAATCATAATGCAAAATAGACAAATTCTAAAAACAAAAAAAAAGTTTTTCTTGTTATTTAATAGATTGTTTACTTATACTTTAGGAATGCTTTCAATATTAGCTGGTAATCACATTTTTTTTAATTATTATTCAAAACATTAAGCAGTCATAGCCCCACCTGTTGGTTAATGGAAAGATGTGCAACAGTCAACTCCCCCCACTTCCAGTCCTCCGCATGACACCTGGAATACACACCATATCAACCTCCACTCCCATGCATTCTGGAGTAGAACAATGATCTGATATACAATATCTTGCATAGATGGACATTAAGAGAATACCATAAGATTCTGATAGCACACCTCATAGTCTAAATTCGTCGCTCTTCTGCTAAATACACTAAATATTTTAAAGATTAGCTCTCTCTACTTTTATCTAATGAGTCATAATATAAAGAACCATGTCACCTCTCTAACAGCTTGAGCTGTGTGAAGGATTCCTGATGTTTTGCTCTTTAAAAAATACTTTTTTAAATCTCCCAATACGATTTGGAAATCAGAATATACTTTTTTATTAGTTTTATAATATTTACCTCAATACCTTTTAAAATACCAGTTTTTACTTTTTATTTAATATTGGGATAATATTTAAATTGTACATAAACACTAACCAAAGGAGATGAGTAGTTACATGACAAAAACGATAAAGAACAACTGATATTCTTTATTAAGAAAAATGTTCAGTAAGCAAAATACATTCATAAAATATATAGACATTCTTCACAATGTTTGAAGTATTGAGAAAACACTTGTTAACAATCCAAACACATAGGTTATCATCATCAGTATAAAACATACACTGGCTCAGCACTTTTAAGGCAATCATGTATGTTATTCTCCTGTTAGCTCACAATAAAATAGACAAACTTCTGTAACCACGTACGAGAAGCAACTAGAAATTAATTAATAATAGAAAACAAGAGATAATAGTATCATATACTCATTTCTTTCATATAATTATATTATGTTTGCAGAAGTCACAAAACCTAGCCAGACTTGATTCCAACCCCATCAAAACAACCCACAAAAAAATCCCAGACAGTTGGGAGGGCAGAATTTTGCAGAGTTGGTTACTTCACACGTTTTCAGAGATTTCACAAAAGTAATCACTGATTTGAAGAAAACAGAGGTAGAATACAAAGTCATCCTTCATAATTTTCAATAATAAGTCCTTATAACACAGAAATGTTATGTTTGAATGCTCAAGTACTGGTTACTCCTTGAAGCTCACGTTTCTAGGGGAGAGAAAAGAAATTTCAAAATAATGCTAGTACATTTTAATGAAAATTAATGAAAATTAAGATAAAGTAGTAGTACTAATTAGCCTCCTTGTGGTCTCTTCTGTTATTCCTAAATATTAGGATACTATCTAAAACTCTCTATTCACTTCATTGACTTATTGCTCAAGTACTTAACAAAGTAAATTTGAGCTGAGGAGGAAGACAAATTCTTGAGAGGATTAAATCAGATCACAGAAATACAGTTACAGAAAAATGTAATTACAGCATACACTTTACTGTATTAAGTTCCTAGGAAGGAATAAGTAGATAGACTGAAAGATGATGATAGATGTGCAGATTATTCTAATGTACTTATCCACAAACACATTTATAAGGTACGACAGTAAATTAGCTTGCATATGAATTAAAAAATACTTTCTTTCAAAACTCATACTTTGTGAAATTGGGATATTTGCTGATAGGATCTGATAATGAGTTCTCATAAGAACTAAGTAAGAAAAGTAGGATAAAATATTTCACTACATGGTATTCTTCAAGTATATCACCAGCCTACATTGCATTCTACTATAAAGCAAGAAAGAATAAGGACAATACTCTACTAATTAGGTTCATTCTAAGAAATATATTACTTAAGAACAATACAAAAATGATCCACAGACTACTAGGCAAAATGTTGATTTAATATGTAACAAGGTTTGCCTAATGACTCACCAGTGAAGCAAAATTAAAAAAAAGACAACTGCTGTGTTGTCCTCCTCATTAATATTTTATTTTTGTTTCTCAGTTTCACTGTCAAAAACTTGTAGAAGAAAAATTGCTGGCAATGTGGATCAGGCCACACTGACCTCAGTTCTCAGGAAACCTATGTTTTATTAACAAAAGCAAGCCTAAGGACAGGACATATGTATTTACCAACATAAATAGTTTAAGCTCTTGTCAGTTTGGAATTCTGCTTCTCGGAGCTAGCAGACAGATAGTTACATTCATAAGCTTATTGCTTAATAGGCTGTTTACCAAAATAATCACTGCTTTTCTCTCCCTGTCTTTCCATTCTTCAGTGCAATGTATTACATAATATGGGAAAGACAGGACATGAAGTTGGTGAGACCTGTAACATGTAACAGACATCATCTAAAACGATACTCTATAAAAATGACAGTGAAAATGAAGAAACTGATCAAGACCTCCTTTTTTTTTTTGGACTCTGATGATCATGTTCTTAGATATTCATAGCCTTTAAGCACTAACAATGCAAAATACAGTAATAATTTTTATGCACTTTTAGATACTATTTTATCTAACATGCTGGGATCAAATTTGTTCTTGTTGGACTTTTTCCTACATAGTGTCTCTTGAATTTTATTTCTCATAATATGAACCATTTGTCATTTGGAGATAAATATTAACAGTAATAAATTGGCAATATATATTTGGATATAATTAATAACAGTAGTAAGCAGGCAATATATATTTGGGAGCTGTCAGCTGATGCCAGACCATTAACAAAAACAGGAATGGGAATCCATTATGTGGTCTTTGGAGAGCACTTTGCATCTACTGTTTCCAATCAATATTTTATAATAGGAGACAACAAAAGAAGAACTAAGCACCACCTAAAGTGTTGAAGAACTTCATATAATTAAAAAAGTATTATTTAGAAACCTTTTAACTTAGATGGAAACAAAGTGACAAAATCAAATCACTTACTTTTCAGCTGCTGCTTGATCAGCTGTCCTTACAACTGCATGATCTGGAGAACGTGAGGGAGATCTTAACGTAGAACTGAGAGGAGGTGAAGCACATAATGATGACGTAGAGAGACCATGTCGACGCATTTCCTGAATTGCACGCTCTCTACCAACAGACAGCAATTTCAGTTATAAAAGACTTCACTACTGCAGGATGTCAGAGCAAAAAAATGTTTTATATTTTACTTTGTCGATTATCGCAATAGTTTGCAAAGAGTCTTCTTTTCTTGTAATTTTCTTCTCACATTTATGATAATGGATTTTTTTTTTTAATGCAATAGTAAATTCACAAAATGTAGGAAGGAAATCAGAAATCACATCTTTTTCTTTTTAAATTAAGCAATTTTCAAGTTATTATTTTAACATCAGATTATGAGAAAATTAGATTTTTCGTAACAACAGGAACACAATTTTCCATATAAACTGTGTTTCCATGTTAACAAAAGCAACAGTTTTAAAAATGAAAAGAGAAGTACCTCAACATGAAGAAAACAGCCTCTTACCTTTCAAATCTTTCAGTTGTTAGCTGTCTTTTTAAAACATCATAGTCAGTCTGCAGCTGCGCAACTTTACTTCGAAGTATGGAAACCTCTCTATTATGACTGCTTCTAAAAAAAACCATCAGAAGCAACGTTTTCTTTGAACACCGATAGATAAGAGCTTGGAGGAATTAGAGCAAGTCAACAAAACAAAAACAGAAATTCAACATGCTATTTCACACAGACCAAATCACAGAGACAGATTAGAAGTAGGGAAAGCCAAGCCAATTCAGTGGCATGTTTGTGGAAGAACCTAAGGTGAGAAAGATGTGAGAAGTTGGTAAGTCTCTCGTTACATCTTTACTACAACACACTATATTCTTTTTCAGGCAAAGGTAAGCAGTGATGTTCTACAAAAGCAGACAAAATATTTACATTACTATTCTACTGATTTACTGTCTTCTGTTGCAATATTAAATCGTTTTTATGTGTACAGTGAAAAAGAAAAAAATAGTAGCCATTCACAAAAAGTACAAACGTAACTGATATGGCTGCAGTAAAAGTGTATCAGTCTAGAAGGGAACATAACTGAATAACATCTAAATAAAACTGGTATTAATACAAGCTCAGACCAGCAAAATCTGCATGTTTGTCAAGTACACTCCTGAGTTTGAAGTCAATTGTTTCAACTACGAGGATCAAAAAGAAAAGCAGCCCTGAAAATCTTAAGTGACATAATTAAAAATGTTTCTCAGCAAATCACTGATCTGGACAATTCAATGGTTGGTTGCAAGATACTCCAAATTGCATTACAGAACAGAAAAAAAAAGTCGCTCCTTGAGTGTAAAAGGAGTCATCTAAACAGCTATATTATTCCATAATGTTTTCAAAGCCATTATGAAGCTGAGTGTTGTTGTTCCAGTTGTGGAAAGGGAAAGATGTAGTAGCTCACTGTGTAAGCACTGAACTGCAATCCTGAGAAAACAAGTTCCTTCCCTAGCTTAGTATCAAGACTTCATGTCTGGGCACCCATTGGTCTCTGACTCCAGGGAGATGCAAAATATTCAAGAGATGGGAGCCCCCAGAAACGCAGAACATTTTTCCTTGTCTTCCATATTCATCAATAAAATTCCTATAGTAATTCTGATCTAGCATATTGCAAATAGTTGCAGAAGGCTTCTGATGGTATATTATTCAAAGTACTTCAGAAATTGGCATATATTTCCAGGATGAAGGTAAGAACTCAGAGCCCAAAATCATTATTGTAAGATAAAGAAAGAAAGCAGTTTTGCGAATTCTGAGGTTAGTACATGTAAATAACATTGAAACAAAATTAGAGATGATGAGTTAAGTCACTCAAAAATTAAGGAAGATTAAGAACAACAGAATTTTGGAACCCCTATGCACAGCAATCATCCTATAATAAAATTACATGGTGATTCAATATTTTTCATGTCGCATCTGGCCTTTCCACAGTGAATATCTCCAGCTAGCATCAAGTAATTTAGCTACTGAATATGCTGTTTATTTAGTACATGATGACTGCAGTCTCAGTAACTCATTTACCCCATTTTAAAAAAAGCATTTTGAGTAATATTCAAATTCACTCTTCACAGAGTTCAATATTATGGCAGTGAAGAGCTTCAAAGCTATACTTACTTTTGAGAATCCTTCTGAAGTCAGAGGCTGTATCAGTACTATTTTATAAACAGAGTGGAAGCACTGGCACAATAGCATCAAAAATGTAAATAATGTTCAAAAATATTAACGTACGACTTCTGCAACGTTTCAGTTCTAGCTGACAAGTTCACTGCATTTTTCACAAAACACAACTGCAACTCTCACATACTTCAATCACAGTTGTGAGCATTTAAAGCTTCTGTCCTCTAGACTCCAAATACTACAAACTGAATAGCAGAAAATGGAAGCATATGCAACTAGTTCTTATACCTGAATACTAACCTGGCAAGATGAAGAACCTCCAGTATAAACAGAGTATTGACATTTGCAATAAAGAAGAAAGGAACCTTAAAATGCATTCAGAAGAAATCTTTTGTAAGAAATACTGTGAAGCGATTGAAATAAAGCTTTGTATTTTTTGCATGCAAGAAGCTAAATTTATGTTAAATGAAAACCTCATTCTTTCCTTGTTTTGTAATTTCCATGTTTTATTTCACAGTCAGGACATTCCATTAGTTTATATTCTTTGTAAGTGATTAAAATTCTTTTTTTCTCAAGTAAACAAAATTCAGCAAATCTAAAACGTGAAGCAATGAGATGCACAGAAGTGATCAATACAATCTTCCTCCATACCTTCACTGAGATCACCGTTATTTGAAGTATGGCATCAATTGTCAGTAGTAAGCCTTTACACACATCAATCCAAAGTGATTTTCTTGCACATTTGTGTCATCACAGATAGCTTTTGACAATTCAGGTATGTTATATTCTACTACTTATAACAGAGAAGCATTATCTGTCCTTTTACTTTCTGCATGTTTTCCTTCTCAACCTACCGAGTGTTTATTAACTGGGTCTATTAGTTCTTTTATTCTCTTCTGAAATTTAGTTTGACTTCTGGCTTCATCTTCATCTACACTCAGCCGTTATTTCACCACCTTGCTATTCAGTGCAAAATTACCACTACAATCACTGGCTAATCTATCCCCACAAGAATAAATGGTGTTACCACGTCATGATGAGACCTAAAATGAAAACTTCAAAACTTAATTTACTGAAATTTTACATCAAGAGTGATAATGAAAGCACTGTCCACATTCAGTGTAGGTATTGGTTTCAGTTCTTTTGGCTTTTGACTGTCTCCAAAGAGGGAGACTCCCCAGGCTCTCTGTGCAATCAGTATCAGTATTCAATCCATGGAACTGCAGCATTAACTCTTTATCTCCCAATACTCTACATGATGTTATGGAATACTGACAACAAAAATCATAAAACCACAACACCGGCAGAGTCAAAAAGTGCTCATTTAGAAGGAATCTCGTGTTCCCACTGGTGTTCATTGCCCATTGTCCCTGTCACTGGGCACCACAGAACAGACACTGGCTCTGTCTTGCCTCCTGTTCAGTTATTTACATACACTGATAAGATCCTCTCCAGAGCCTTCTGTTCTCCAAGATAAGCAGCCTGAGCTCTCTCAGCCTTTTCCTCATAGGAGAGATGCTCCAGTCCCTTAATCATCTTCATGGCCCTTCATTGGACTCAATCCATTAAGTCCATGTCACTCTTGTACTGGGGAAGCCAGAACTGGACACAGAGCTCCAGGTGGGGCCTCACCAGTGCTGAGTAGAGGGGAAGGACCACTTCCCTTGATCTCGGAGGAAAGGATTTTAGTGATTGCACTGAAAAGATGGGAGAGTTATATCAGACAAATAAATTTAAGGAAATGTATAACCTACCTGACTTTGACATGAAAAAAAGAGTCTGATGTGAGAAAGAATGATGACCAGCAGAGAAAGTAAAGCAAACATTTTGAAGTAAACACTGTGAACGGCGAGAGAAATTTCTGCTTATTCTCAAGACTGTGAAAACAAACTTAGCAAGATGTACCTTCCTTTTAGAGAAGGTTTATTTTAAAACTCTTATTTGAATTCACTGCTAGTGCTAAGCTGAATTCCACCAGATTTATTAATTAAAGCGATATGAAAGATCCAAAGAGAAATTTTTCACTAAACAATGCCACAATTGGCCAAAAGGTCTATCTGCAAAAATCCACTCAGCCACACTGAACATCAAGAATTTGACTATGACTGCCAGAATAAAGAAGAAGTCTCTTTGTAACCCACATAACACATATAAATTAAGACTTACAGTTTCCCCTCAGCAAGTGTTAGCTTGTCTTTCAGTAACTGAATTTCTGAGTCTTTTTCATGAGAAGTTAAATGGTTCTGAAATTCTTTATCTCTACTGGTAGCCAGCAATGTTTCAAGATTCTGAATTGTAAGTCTCTCACTGGATAACTGCTTTTTCAGCAACTCTGCTTCTGATTTAACATCTTCTAATTCACCTAGAACCTAGGGCACAAATTTTATTCATAATTAATACACTGGTTTACAAACACACACACACACACACACACACACACACAGCACTCTTTCCTGAAGAGCTGTAAAAAAAAAATCATTGGAAATTTCATAAAAGTGAAAAGGAAACTGAGCTCAAAAAACACAGTAAGGCAGAGAAATATTTTAAATTATACTTAATTAAGAAATTTTCAAATATCTGTTAAAAAGTTTTACTGGGAACTGGATTATTGAGTGGGTAGTGTAGGCATTTGCACAGGTACAAAAACAGTAGATACTATACTTGATTTTATTTGACTAGGCTGGCTCAGTTAGTTTCCTAATTTTTGCTGAAATTGTAGAATTGTTTGTTTTTGTCATTACTTTTATCAATATAAAGAAATTTTGTGGGGATGAGACCTAGAGTTCTCAAGGTCTTGAATAATCCAGTAGGAGAAAGCCTAATATAATCACTAAGTAAAAACACTGATTTGTGCAATAACCAGAAAAACAACTGATGTAACTTAACAGATTTTGCTCTCTGAAGCTTTTTCTTAAAAAATCATTAAAAACAAAAGAAATTAAAAGCAAAAGATATTTCATTATAAAAATTAAACTTGCTTTTGCTGCTTACCCTTTCATAATCCATGCTTTTAGACGCAAGCTGTCGAGATAAAAGGTCTTTGCTAGCTTCAAGTTTAACACAAAGTTCTCTCACAGAAGTCAGGTCAGCCAATACAGAGGACTTATCCTGATGTTCACGTTTAATGTCCTCTTCCAATTTAGACATATTTTTTGTAATGGAGGAGATCTGAGATTCATAAGCTTGATGTGCAATCATATGCTAAACAAAAACAAATATGGATACCTTTTCAGGAATATTAAGAGTTATCTCCCAATTAACAGATTTTTATCTAATACTTCCTCTAGCCTTCAAAAATTAACTTCCCTAAAAAATTAACTTTAGATTACATTATTTTTCTTTTCTCTTTCTAAATCACAGCTAAGAAAAACTGATAAATAGTCTCTGCATTTTTAAACCACCATCTCAAAGAATTATACATGTACTGGACAGAAGTGGAAGGAGGCTGGAATTCAGAACAGAATTAAAAGTTTCAAACTTCAAAATACAATTAATTTCTTTAGTCACCTTACATTATTAAGTCTCTTATTCTGCTTTTGGCTAATTAAAAGCATGAAACAAAATATGGTCAGTCCAGAACTACTTATATAATCCAAAACTTCCTTGATCTCCATGAAGTTACTGTTTCTGGAATATAAACCTCATTATTTTAAAACCATTGCTTTAGGTTACCACACTTTGTAATCCTGATTCTGGAATTTAGACTACTACTTATTAAACACTATCAGATTTGCGCATTTAACCTAGCCACCAGTACTGCAAATACTTCATTCAAAGTTTTAGATAAAATCAAGAACTAAACTCATACAATACTCACGAAGACAGATCGAGATATTTTGAAGCAACTAAATAAAAGTTTATTACAGAGACAATAACAATGACCACCCTACAGAAGAAATCTAAAAAATACATGATGAGAGTCTAATTTTGGGAAGCTAGGGGAGGGAGGTTAGAGAAGGAAAAAGTATCTGATGAGAATCAGTTGCTGTTTCAAAAGCTCACCATCCATAACTGAAGCAGTTATATATAAGAATTAATTTATGTTCAAAAATAGAAAAAGTATGTTGACACCTCACTTTCTTGACAGAATTGCACTATGTAGGTTATTACCTCTTGAATCTCTTTTTCCAGAAGTTCTACTCTCTCTCGAAGATGTCTCCGATCTGTATCTACAGAAAGGAGTTCAAGCCGTATTGAGCTGCTTTCCCCTTCAGCTTGATGAGCCTTGATTTCCCAGTCCTCAGCTTGTGTATGCAGCATTCGGAACTTCTCTAACAATTCTTGGTTTTCTTTTTCCTAGGCAAAGCAGCAAAACACTCTGCAATCATCAACATACCTTCAGAGAGCTTGGCCTTTTTTCACAGTTCTACTTTCTACTCACCGTAGAAAGTAGAAACATTCTCCATCATCTTACTCCTCTTATCTTTCAATTACTAAAGGGCATCATTCCTTTTACAAGACCAAATGACAAATAAATGCTGATGGCACTGTTTTATTAAATAGAAGTATTGACATTTAGCTGTTACTAATAAGTTTTAAGGCTCTCCAGTTAGGGGTTCTTTTGAACCTCTTTGTGTTGTCAAGGGTCACATTACAGATATGTACTCATCACATTAGTTTATCCATGAAATTCCATCAGAAGACCATTTTTGACCCTTTTCCCTATCATACTCTTATTAATGTGCATATTACAGTAACACTTGAAAGACTGGTAACCTGTCTGGGCATAAGCAGCCTATAATGAAATTACAAAATTGCAAACTTTAATTTTGCCCAACTACAAATGTACATTATAAGACGATGCTTAACTTTTCTTCTTTATTTAGCCCCATTCCTTTTTTCTCCTGTTCATTCAGTGCACAGCAGGATGAGCATACTGCTAGTAGGAATCAGATTTATCTAGTGAGGAAAACCATTGTTTGTGAAATTCTTCTGTATTTCCAGCACAACTTGGAAGGTACAGACAAAAACAGGGGCATTTGGATTCAGAAACTCACAATCAAGCACCTGAAAACTATGCAGAAAAGTAAATTCTTGTTTCCGCAGACAACATTCACATGTTGTGACAAATCCCTGAAACTAAGCTTTCATAACTGGCAAATTAAGTTCTACTGTTTCTTGGTACGTGACTTGAATGACTGGATTCCCATTCACCACATTTGTAGTGGTGAATGGACATAATGACATATAAACACTCTTATCTAAGCTACAAGAATTTTAAATTGAAGGTTCAAAGCTACTGACCTTTAGTTTTCCTCTATGCTTCAGTTTATACTTGTAAATTGTGTTTGAATTTACAGACATTCATCTAGCCTATGCAAATTGAAGTCAGATCAAAACTCATTCTTTTATAGCCAATTTCACATTTATTTGCCAGTTCATGTTGTCTTGACTACTTATTCAGTATTGATTCATATAGAATCAGGAAAATTAGCCCTCTTATTTTAAATACTTATAAGATTGAGTTCACACACTTCACACTTTTGAATCAAAGTATGAGAATAAAATACATTTAGCAAGAGCAGTTTTGTCAGGACAGCAAAAAGATTGAAATCTTATCAACCGTGGAGAAAACATTCCAATATGCTATTTTTACAATGTCTTACAGAAGAATTACACCTACAATTTCTCTTTTAACTTTTTTTTTCAAATATTAAAAACTATAATTCATGCTTGCTTGTTGTCTATAATCATAATACAGTAAAAGATATTTTACATGTTGACTTGTTAAAACTTTCAAAACTCAAAAATTAAAACAACATTCAAATATTTGTTTGTCATTCACCAGTGTCATGGAGAACTGAAACATCAGTGAAATTCCACACCACAATTCAATCAAAGTTTTATACGAATTCACTACTAAAAAAGTATTGCAGATAAAGCAGGGAAAAAAAAAAGAAAAAGAAGAAAAAGGAGGGGTAGTAAGTAAGGAGAGAAGAGGACACAAAATTCCACATTTCTTAATTAGTTTATAATATCCTAACAAAGTTATATTCTAAACCTAACGACGTTACCAAAAACAGCAATGTGTGCCTACAGATTGTATCTTTACCTTTGAAGCTATCAGACTCTCAAATCTGGAAACTTCAGTTATATAATTATGAACTCTTGTTTTCATTTCTTCCTTTTCACGTATTGCATCTTGAAGCTCAGAACTGACAGCCTAAAATGATTACATAAAGGCAAAATAGTGCATTACAGGAAATTTATCACTTTATATTACTGTATCAGACAATCAAAGTAAGTACGTATGCCCTAGTTGTTATTCTTAAACTGGGTATTTTTTTTAGAAATGGTTCATATGCACATTCTCTTGCATGGTGACATCCACCTCATGCATTTGGAACTGGGAGACTTTCAGTGAACAGTAATCAATTAGTGCACAAAACTCATTATTCCTCAGCACTTTAAATGAGGGATTAACAAGACAGTGCATATTTCAACCTTTCCCAGCTGTGAATCCCAGACTCCGAGAATCCCAACTAAGAACAAATGGAGCAACGATGACTAGGAAGCGTGCATGTGGACATAAACTACATATGCTGTTTGTGTTCTTTGGAAGAATGAGCCTTACACAACAGTGGTTGCTTTAACTTCTGAATCCTGGGGGACATCTCAAGATGCAGAACCCACAGTGATGATGACAAACACTGAACCTCTCAACCACCTCTATTTGAGAGTTTTTATTTAACCTAAACCATCAACTTGAAGTAGTTCATCTTTCAACAAAATAAATTAGGATACTCTAAGAAAACAGGTAATCCCTCAAGATATTAAAGATTTCATTTCACCTTTAATTTTATAACTGATAGAAATTTAATCTATGTACTAGTAGCATGCACCTTACAAGGGAAGTGTTCAGTCATCAGCAACCGAAAGAAATTGTATGCCTCTCTGCTGGAAGATTGATCACAAATACACAGGAACTAACACTCTGAGTCCTCCAGGCAATCATAAACCACTTCCCACCTACTTTTTAGCCTAAAACTACTGACTGGCTAGCTGCTACCAAGCAGCTAGGACTCTGAACTACAGAGGAAAGATTAAATTATTATGGAAAAATTAAATAATATAAAAGTACATAACAAAAGATAAAGTTCTGCAAACAGTCAAATAAAGTACCTGAATGGAATCTCCACCAAAATAAATTAAAAAAAAGAAATCCAACATACACACTAACATAAGAAATACATTCCCAAAAAAGCTGCAATATACAGCTAAATTCTAAGATACTACCTCATCAAGACACCTACCTTACCAAAGCAAAAAGCAATCCAATAAGAATGTTTTCTCCAGGCACCTCTGAATTCACCATCTAAAAACCCCACACTACTTTGACACAATGGAAAGGGAACCTCTACTATTTCTTATCAACTGTGCATCCTTATCCATTCCTGAAATCAGGAAACAAATTCAGACTATTCAAGACTGTCATATCATAAAATAAGTTTTCTTTAATCTAACTCGTAACCTTTAAACTCTATTCTATTTTCTCCCCAGAATTAATCTTTCCCAATCAATCAGTAGAGCAGACCTCTTGTAGAGAAACACAAAAAAAAAAAAAAAAAAAAAAAAGGAAACTGACCTTGGCAGAACTGGACATTAAGCATCAGCCAATGCTTCTTTACAGCCACTATTATCAAGTTTCTTAGAAAATAAACATTAATATCTACATTCAAAACACCCTGATTTCAAAATGTGGCATAATTCACCAAATACATCCAATGCTTCATGAAGGTGATGGATAAAACTAAATAATCACTATGCACTAGGATGTATTCTGACGAACTAACAACAACCTTCTTTTTTCCTCCCTATATATAATCTTTTAATAACTACCTATTATTCTTTTTTTTTTAAGCAATAACTGGCAACTATGAAGCAATATAATCAAGTAGGAAAATTTCATTATAAGAAAAGCAATTATGTCCTCAATTTATTTTATTTAGACTTCTTTTTTAATTTGGGGAAGATTGACTAAACAGAAGGTTTGTGTATGTATCTCTTATTGTACTGACTATGCATTTACAAATTCCTGGCTTAATTGCTTTTGTATTTTCTGCCCAGTAACTGTTAGTACACCAGCATTCAAGAAATGCCAACAATTAATTATAATAAATCAAACAAGATGCAGCAGTAGTCATGTACAATAAGCAAGCAATAAATAATTCAATACTTCAGCAGTACGTACTATCTTCATACCTGGTTTTCCCTGGTCATTGTAGCTAGATCATCTTGTAGTCGTCTATTTTCTTTCAGAGCTATTTCCTTTACTCTTCCTGTTTCTGCAATCTCTGTGTGGGATGCATCAAGTTGGCGACGCAAGCTAGATATCTCACGGTCTCTGCTGCTCAAGAGGTCCTTCAGCTGGCTATTGAGTGAGAGATTTTTGAAAATCTTATTTACGATGCCTCTACTCACACAATAGTGCGTACTGCTGAAAATTATCAAACATGGATTTTATATACACAGAAAGTTTTTTGTAATGGTTTCCTTCTTTTCTTTGTAAATGGTACAATTCTTGCTCTGCGAAGATGCAAATGACAAATGACAAACAAGCATAAGCTAAGCATAAAAGTAACTTCAGGGTGTGGCATTAAGATATACAAATAATAAAAATGACGCTTAAAAATAGACAAGGTGGAAAGATCAGATAAAACAGCTAAAAACTAAGTAAATATATTTTATTACAGACTATACTTGCAGCCTGAAGAATTAACACACCAAAATTAGAGATCAGCTCCTGAGTTTTTACTGAGTAAATCTAATAACCTAATAATACCTAATGGAGTATTTGGAATACTAAAAAGCCAGTTCTTAATTGAGAAGAAAGAAATGTTACCAATTTGGAAAAATAAGAATAGACAAACAATTGCTAATTTGTAATGGCTGTCTTAACAGTAAACCAGCACCCTAACATTTAATTGCAGGAAGAGTCTCTTTAAAGGTTACATACATTTTACTCTATTGCATATGCTCATTTACTTGTCTTAAATAGAATTAAATTCTTTTCACCGAAGTAATTAAAATTATCATCTACTTTCACTTTAAGGCCTCTGACACTTATTGGAGAAAGTCAAACCACCAAAGAAACTGTCTGAAGAAAGTTTTTACTTACTCTGTTGATGACTCCAGCTCAGAGAGCGTTAGCCGTAAGTGAGTAATTGTCTTTTCCTATGAAAATAAAAGCAAAAATTGTCCTAGTATTACTGCAACATTCTAGGATAGCTCAAGCTAAAAAGCTTTATATTTAAACCTTTATTTTAACTCTCATCAATAAGTAACTGCATCTTTGCACATTCAAATTTTCAGGTTTTTTTTCCTTTATTGAGAAAGGCTTGTCATGTCATCAAAAAAAGATGGGATCTCAAGATATACCTTGAACTGCAAAGAGAGAAAAATATTTTTACTTTCTTGAAGTGTTCAGGGAACACATTAACAGTAATAATTAAAACTTTATTAAGTTGGCAAAGACTTCGTATTGCCTAGGTCTAAACACGGAGCTCATGTGGTGTCTAGAGCTCTACCAGCTATCTTGCCTTTAAGGCAAAATGCCTCCCTGAAACTTAACAGCTTTGAAAATCCCAAGATAAGAGCGTAGAGTAGTATTTTCACTGCACATACCTTATTAGCTAAGTTGTCATCTAAGCACGCAATTCTTTCTGTTTTTTCATCTACAGTTTCTTGAAGATTATCCTTTTCTTTGTCCAAAACAGTAATAGTACTTCTAAGCACATTGACCGCCTCATCCTGTGAAGTGCTCTTCTGGTTTAACCTATCTGTAAATATCACAGTAAGTATTCTTGTCTTTAAAATAGGAAACAAAGGTAAAAATAACTAGTGATCACCTATTTTCTCCTCTAGCTTTACAATTTCTTCTTGAGCTGACTGAAGTTCATCCTTTTTGAGGGACAATCGGTGCTGTAAATCTTCCACAGTCCTCTGGAGTTGTTCATTTAAGAGGCTGGAAAATCAGTACACAATTGAAAGAAATTTGGGAACTCTTAGTTTGGGTTCTTCAACTTGTGTCTCTTGAACTGCTTAAAATTCTGTAACAGTTCCAGCGTAACCTCATGGCGGGACTGTATCATAGCAATTAAAGATTGCTGAGACCAATATCACTTCCTTGCTTTGGACCCCTGCAGCAAATCCACCTTAACACCATTTCAAAATGGAGCCATGGAACCTCTGTGAAACTACCGTGATAAACTGAAACATTCACGTCCTCTGATTTTTCTTACTAGAAAAGCTTTCTATTTTTTCAGTACAGAATACAACGTAGCTGCAGGTAAAAGTTACTCTATTTAGGATGAAACTTCAGAGGACAAAAAGGTGCTCTAAATAGAGCAATAACAAAATGGAACCAAGCACTAAAATTACTACAGCCCTTTTCCTCATCTCCTGCTTTTTATAGGTAATGATGCTTTCTACTAAAATTGTAAGGAGTCTCACAAGATATTTCAGCTCTATGAATTGTGTCACAATTTTAGAAACAAATACACTAATGGTTTTACCAACAAACAGCTTTTGAGTAATTTCAAGTATTATATAAACTCTGAGGATTGCTTCTGAGCTTCAGCTCTTTACAGTTATATAGTACAGAATAGTACTGTTTTGTCTTATATATTTTGGGGTTTTTTTTGAAGGGGGGTGGAAGGGTATGTTGTAGTGTGGAAACAGACACTGGTTTCATTTGTAAAACATCTAATCTAACAGCATAACCTTGCATCCAAGGCTCTCATTTTTACCTAAATCAAATGCAAGATTTTCAAATGTCTGCCCAGATTTATTCAAATTTCTATTTCCACATTCTGTAAGGCCTTTTCTTGTCTCTGAATGAAGTATCTGATGGAAGCTCTGAAACAATTTGAAAGACCAGCAGCGATCCTTCAAGTTTAAGTAGGCCTCTAAAACATATAGGTATAATTAATCCTTCACTTCTGAGCAAATAAAAACCCTTCTGACTGCACCTAAGGATCATAAGATGCCAACATGCAAAAAATGTAGTATGCTTTGGATAGTACTAGCATATAAAAGAGACACAAGAAAAACAGCTCAAACAAGATGCCATTACAGAACAGCTCTCCAAGAACTACTCACCTGCCAAGTATCAATGATGCTTAATAAAAACTTCAGTATTATTTACACCTGTGTAAAACTAGCACAATTTGGTCCTACTCCTACAGTTTGCAAACACATCTGTCTTCATTTTAGCAAACTGCATTTCTAAGTCCTTTTAGAACTTTCTGTGCTGGTACATTCATAAACAGAAAACATGGTTGTTGGAGGAAACTGTTCTAGAAGGAGAATCTTTTCATTCACAGTTTGCCATAACAAGCATTCTGGTTATTAAATACATCCAGGAAGAGTTTGGTATGAAAAGCTAAACCAGTATTTTTTCCTTATTCATATTTACATTTCCTTAAGATAAATAATGTATCAAGTGATTTTTTTTCAACTGTCCCAAGGTCCTTCCAAAGACCTTATCTCTACTATGTTTATAGAGTAAAATTATGTTACTGTCACTGAAAGATGATAGTATTTTGTATTAGACTTACTGAAGTGAGCAAAGTTCAGCTTTAAATTGAGAAGAATCATCAGATGTCTGCATAAGTTTATTGGATTTCAGTTTTAATTCATTTTCCAAAGACTTTATTCTTTCTTTCAAGATAGAGACTGTACTCTTTAGTTCACACCTTTCCAACTCAAACTGCAATTAAAAAAAATAAAAAGACATTATTGTTGAACAAAACTATCACAACTTGGCTTTTAAGTAAATCAAAGTTGAAAAGAGATGAAAAAACAAATTGCTGGAAAAAAATCTATCCTAATCTAGAATAAAAACTTGTTTGTTAAAAATAGACTTACTTGTTGAATATTATTTTCCAGTTCTGAAATGTCATGCTGCATCTTTGATTTTTCAAGGTTAGCTGCTTCTTGCTGAATCTAAGGTAAAAGCATTGGTTTTACATGTAATAAATAAGATACGGATTTTCACTACGCATAATTTAAGTAATAGCTGAAAATACACCACTGCAGTTATATATACACACACAAGATTTTAAAAATAATAAATTTAAAGTTTGGTTAATTACAATGCAAATTTATATTTGGCCCTAATTTAATTAATATTTGTGAGTTGTCGCAGAAACAATACAGAGATAAAAGGCAATAGAAAGGTCACAAGAATGTAGCATGTGGAGTTTTGAAGATGGTTTTTCTATCACAAAGAAGTGCATATAAAAATATTCTGTGATATCTGCACTCTACACACGAAGTGTATACTTGCCTTCTGACACTTCAAGCCCTTTCCTCTACTGTCACCCTACCTAGGAACCGAGATTATCAGGATAATTCAGACAATTCATCAATTCTACTAAGTGAATTTGAAATCAGACAGGTATAGAAGTTATTCAAAAGTGGAACTGACTGACAGTCATACACAAATATGGTAGCATTTAAAAGCTTTTTCTCACTGTAAAGCAATGCAGCTAAAAAAGTCTCACCTTTAACTTTTCTCTTAGACTTTCCTTTTCTGTCATCAGTCTTCTAAAGTCTGCCAGTGCAACATCTCCATCTTCTCCCAGGTGACTTTGAGAAACTAAATGATGCTTTGCTTCTCTTCTCAGCCTGTTTAATTCACTTTGAGACTTTAAAAAGTTTTTACTTGTTAGTATTTGTGGATTGCAACTAATACAATGTATACACTGACAAAAAGAAAGTTCCAATGTCATTATCACAACAAAAGTGCTATTATAGTTTATTTCCCTAGATAACTAAAACACATTTAAAATCACACAGGAGCACAACAACTTATACTGCCAACATACTTGGAATCCTTCTGCTGTTCCAAGCATAGACTAACTTCACTTCGTTTTCTCATAATTTAGTTACAACTTCTACCTAGCCTGTATCTCTACCCAACTTTCTTATGCTTTCTTTTTATTTTCTCCTGATCTTTCTCATTTCCAAATGCCAGTAGAACGTTAGAATGACTCTGAAGTTAATACATGAATGTCAAAGCACACAATTTTATTAGCAAGTTAAAAAGAAAAAAAAAAGTATATGTAAGTATGTATTTTATTACTCTTCATATTTTCTAGTCGGTCTATACTCAATTTCTATTATAATGTGGAGCTCCTTCTTTTTGAACAAGCAATAGTAAAGTAAGTTTGAATTGGATATTTCAATGCCAATTATAAAGCTCTTTGTACCTGCTCATAAAGAATATTTAATCTGTCTCTTTCTGCAGTCAATAGCTTGACGCTGGATTGAATTTCTATCATATGCTTTTCAAATCTGTCTAACATGGACTGTAGCTCATCTCTTTCTCTAGTGATCAATCTCAGATCTTCACTCTGCAAAAGTGATTAATAAAATTGAGGTTAAAATATACTAATTAGATAATTGGACACTTAAGTGTTACAAGAAAGAAAGAACTCATATGATTAGGAATATACGAAAAACATACCTAATACATTTTAATTCCAAGAAACGTGGCATTACTAGTATAGTATAGTATAGTATAATTTAACCATGAGAACAAACTGTTAACAAGAAAAAGCAACAGCTAACAATAATACTTCAAACTTTGTTTCTTTAATATCTAATTCTATTTATTTTACACAAATTGATCAATATATAAATCAACACTACTATAAAATGTGAGTAGAGAAACAAAAAGCAAGCTCACTGAAGTTATTCTCAGTTAATTTTTATGCTAAGAATGCAATCTAAAAAAATAGAAAACATCTATTGCTATTGAAAATATATTTGATAGCTTCTTAAATCAATCTACAGTAACTCCATAATTTTTCCAGCCTGTATTGACAATAAGAACGTTACCTTCTCTGGAGTCCTACGACTTGGGCTAGGTCTTCGTTTTATCATTTTTTGAAGATACTCTAATTCTCTTTTATAATAATCTCTGTCATCTTCTAAAGTTTTGACAAATGCATCTAGACGAGATGGAGATTTGTCTCCTAGAGCTATACCGTATTCTAATCTCATTCTTTCTATTTCTAGGACAAGTTCCCGTTCTGCAGAAAGAGAAATAAAAACAACTGCAAAGAAAGCTTAATTTCATCAGAGACATTTGCATTAGGAATGGATTAACATCCAGTAACTGCCTGGGCACCAGATCTGCTGAAAACAACGCAGAGGTCCTGGATGACCATTGCCTACACGTGAATCAGCAGTGTGTTTTGGAACCAGCTGAGGCCTAGCAGTAGAGTGGACTGCCTCAGTGGAGATGGAGATCAAGGGATGTGATTATTTCCTTTTACTTAGGGCTTATGAAGTCACCTTTACAATATTGTACCCAGTTTTGTTCCTTGTAGTACAGGAAGGATCTAGATAAACTTGGGTGAGTGCAGGAAGGGTCTCCAAACTAGTCTAGTAGCAGAATACCTGCCCTGTGAGGAATGGCTGAGGGAACAGGGTTTGTTCAGCCTATAAAACAGCTCATGAGGGCCTTAAGAGCTGCAGACAATACCAAGAGGAGTTTACAGGCAAGACGGAACCAGTTTCTTCACAAATGTGAGTAAACAGGAAACAAGAGTAGTAAACTGCTACAGGAAAACAATCTATCAAGCTATTTTTACAAGCAATAGAAAGAAAACTTTTCTGAGCATAAACAAATTTTGGAAATAGACGCCTAACAAGACTGAGGAATCTCTGCCCATGGAGGTTTTTACGGTCTGGACAAAAGTCTTAAGAAACAGTCTGAAGTCACTCCCTCAGAAAGACTGAATAAAAACAGTATGGGATGAAAGAAATTACTTTGTAAGAAACACCTTATTACCATTAGGATGCCCTGTGGAACTACAATTCAACTGTGAAAGCTGAATTTTCAAATATGCTTTTGAGATAAAATATTTCACTTAAATATTGATTGAAGACCTACAGACTATTTTTTTCATTTATCTATTAGTGTTTTTAGTCCTTCGGTGTTATTAATTGCATCTTAAACATTTAAGATATTCTATTTCAAAAATTAAAGGAAGATAATTTACAGGAATCTACATTTTATCGTTTACCTTTTATTTCAAAGTTCTCTGTTTTTTCTGTCAGCCTCTGTTTCTCTTGTTCAAGCTGGTTTAGCAATAGTTCGAGATTCTCTTTATCATCTGCTTTTCCAAAGAGTTCTTCACTCAATCTCTCATTCTGTCGACGACATGAGCACAACTCCTGAAGTAACAAATATTACAAAAATTTAGAAGTGCCAACAGAGACATCGGAAGAAAAGTTAATTACCTAACATTTTGTTAAGCTACTAATATTCAACACTGTTTGATTTCATGTAATCCTGATGTTTTATGTAACATTTGTTTTAAGTGAATATTGTTGGCTCTAGGCATTACTCCTGACACAGTTTGCAATCAGCAGTGAAACAAGCAAGACTCACATTTGTTTAATCCAGCTGCTACTCCAAGAAACCAAACCAGAAGTACAGTAAGATGTAAACATGGGAAAAAGTAATAACTAAATCAAGAAATATTTTTAAATGGAACTTAGTAATATTGTTGGTGTTAAGCTAGATCACAATGCTGTATCTCAATCAATTCAATCCTGCAGCTATTTAATGCAGCTGGCGTTTAGTATTTCCTATAATTTGGTGCTCTGAAAATATTTTCATATTTTCAAGTTCACTAGAAACACTAAAACAAAACACTGCATGTGACCAGTACACAACTGAAAATAGATGTTTCAGGAATGGGTCATACTGACATCTTTCATCTGGGCTATTAAGTTTTGTTTCTGACTAGGAAAGTAATGTGTAAATATTCACTTATTAAGAGACAAAGTAGATCCTATATTAAAAGCACCTTGGATATCATTATTAAATTTTAGTAAAAATGATCGTGTTATGGCAATTAAACTTCCAATAGCAAGAATAATAACAAAATGTATAGTAAGGATAGTAAAGCATGCTGCCTAAAGAGATTTCTTTCTGCTTATTTTTACAATGTGATGTAGCTTCTTCAGCTCTTACATGTATTACATTAGTTTGATAGAATTTTGAGATACTACAGAAGTTTCATTTAAAAAATAATGAAGGGCTGCTAATCTTTATGAAAGAAATGTGAACAACAGTATGATAAAAGTATTACAAAGAAGATTTAAGCTGGAAGAATTTTTACTTACTGATTTAAGCCTCGTTATTTTGTCTTCAAGATCCTGTATTTCACTGTCCTTTCTTTCAATTTCCTTCTGTCAAACAAAAAAACCTTCATTTTTCAAGTTACATATTCAAAACACCAATACCTTTGTTATAAAAATTAAGGAAATTGGATTTTTTTAAGAAACAAAGTATAATTAGTTTCTTGTAAACTGCAAAATTTTAGGTTCACACATTCATTAAAGCTCCTATTAATTGCATGTGCATAACACTTTAACCATAAACACTCATGTTGAACAAAACAACTAAATGAATCACACCGTGACTCCTCATAAAAAAAACTACTCATACACTCCTCACTGTTACAAACATCTATTACGTATCAATAGCTTAAATAGCTCTGAATTTTGTTTTATACTGAGCTAACAGAAGGAGGAAGATAGACTGCCTAACTGAATTAATTTCACCTAACACAGTAATGAGACATAACTGCTGTAATTAATCTTTTAGTGAGAAATTCCATATATGACTAAGTAAATCAGAAAAAAAATTTTCAATGTTCCTTTAGGTATCCTGTTGCAGCTAAAAACGCCAAAATTGAGGCAAATTAGAGAAATTTAACCTAAGAGCTTAGAAGATCCTACCCGTAAAACACTAGTGATTACCTTTGCTTCTCCTATTTCTTTATCTGCAGTTTCAAGCACAATTTCCTTATGTCTCTCCAACTGCTGTGCCAAATGGTCTATTTCATTCAGTTCTTGACAGAGTTCTTCATTTTTATTGCTTAAGTGCACTACCTCACTAGTCACATTTTTTTTTGTATCCAAGAGGTCTTGAATGCGATTTTCAAGTTCTTTGTTTGACTGCTGAAGATATTCAACCTAAAAGATATTTTTCATTACAACTTTAATATATATTATTTAACTAGGTAGTATTTTAGAAGATAAGGAGGAGTGTCTGCTATCTCTATATCTATATATTAAAAGTGATATCCTGTTAATAATGTCTAGACTTCCCATTATTAGAAAACAATAAATATCAACATACAAAAATATTATTTTTACAAATGTGCACGGTGAAAGAATTAATTACTACGCTGATCTTTACATAAGCTCAAAAATCCAAGGTTTATCCTGAAAACAAAGCACTGAAAAGCAGATATCTGTACAAAAACTTGTCTTGGGCACCAGTCCAGTAAACCCAGTGCACTCAGTGTTTCCCCAGATTTCACAAGATTTGAAGACAGTTCCTTCCATCTATCTATCCAGTATATTTGCTAGTCTTGGATTCACTGTTAACTCTTTCACAGAAAAGGAAGCTTTACAGATCATATTCCCAAGACCTATCTTGCCTTCAGCACATCAGCATCTTAAACACAACATTCCAGAAATCCTGTTCTAGAGACACTGTTTTTACCATTATGCTATTCCATGCAAGTATAGTTAAGAGAGGCAGTGTAGGAAGAAAAATAAATAAATATCTCAACCTATCAGAGGTGCTGCACTTCCATCTCCACATAACTTTCCTGAGTACTCCAGAAAGAAGTTCAGTTCTAGGCACAGAACACAATGTGGGTCTCTTCATGGTTGTAAATGCTACTATATAGAATCGATCCATTTACTGTCAGAGATTAAAAGTGGTAGATTGGCACTAAGCCTGAATAAATAGCCTTGATGGCCTCAAATCTACTTTATGCAGATCTGAAAATATAGTATAGAAGCCTGGGTTCACTCTGTATAATCAATTTATCTTCAACACAACTTACTAATTCAGGATCACTGAAAACAGCAGTATTGCTTCCAAGTCATAGCTCATACCATATTTTTGCATCACTGAAGCTAAGCTAATGAGCTCTGCAGCCTGGCTCTCTGTGACCCTGTATATGATACACAAACAGTATCCAGACGGTAAATACATAGTATAAATTCAGAGATAGACTATACTTCATCTGTACTCCAGTCTGCCTTATATTAGATTCAGAAATCTAAGATCAATAATGTATGCATGCTAACATGCACAGTAAACACAACATCCTTATTCCTAAGCTTATTATTTTCTTGCAAGTCTGTGTTGCAGTAAAGGTGAGGACCATTGGAATTAAGAGGATTTCCCACTATGTGATGAGATTACCTGCAGACCTCTTGGTAAGTATATATACCAGAGTTAGTTCCAAAGGCATAAATAAAATGTACACGTATACATTTATAAAATAAAAGAAGTGATTTCAAACTAAGTCAAAACACTGTATCATACAGAAATTTCCTGAATACTCTGTTTAGTATACACAGATGTGCATACATTAAATTCTTTACAAAAAACAGGCTCTTAAAACAAGAAATTTCTTTAGACAAGAAACTATACCACCTAAAAAGCAAAGTAAGTTAAATTTGTTGATTTTTATCTGATACTGAATTTTCTTTTTGAAAGAAGATCTAAAAGTTGTTTGTGGATTGTTTTTTTAAATTGCTAGTATTTCTCATTTTGATTAATCAACAGCAATTCATTCATTACCTGCATATTTAATTGAGCAATAAGTTTCTCATTACTTTTACTTCTTGACTCCAGAGATACAACTTCATGAGAACGACCACCATCCAATGCTAGCATTAGGCGTTCTATTTCTTTGTCTCTAAGTTCAACCTTTGAAGAAAGAAAACCTTCATCATCTTCTATAGCATTTAACAGTACCTTTGTTCTGATACACTCCTATGTAATGCTCAGGAAGAAGAGATGTCTCTAACAATTACATTTTTAAATTTAGTATTCAATTTTCTTGAATTCCACATTTTTCTGAACAAAGCGATTTCTCTGAAATAAAACTAAACTAATAAAATTTATGGGAGAGAAAAGAACCACCAACAACATGGAACAAGTCCTAGCAGATTATTTTCTTGGAGAGCAACCAAAGAATTTAATTCACCAATATATGACTGAAAAAATGATGTTGGGGTTGGGTCCACTACCCCTCAGATATTGAAAGATACATCAAGATACAAACACCTGATGCAATTCCTTCATTTGTACGTATTGTATTGTCTTTTTGATCCAATCTAATTAAAGAGCTGTAAGATCTGCTGTCCGTGAATTAACCTCTGAAAAATAAAAAATAAATATAACCAGTCCAAACAATAAAAAAATTATCCTAATGTACCTGTAGATCAAATTAATTTTAACAGGTGGATATTTCTACACTAAAAAAGCCTAGATGTACAAAAAATTAAGCTTATAATCATCAACTACAATTTATTTAATGTAACTTTTAAGAAGATATATCTATAAGCAAGGGAGGTGGGATAGCATTTTAATGTTGCTGCTGTCTTCACAGCTACAAATTCAAAACAGCAGAGAGGAAAGAAAGAATTAGAATAATTATAACACCTACAATGGTTAAAGTAAAAATAAAATAAAAATCAAGGCTATTACAATTAATTAAAACAAACAAACAAAAAAAAATAGTGAAATAAATGTAAACATACCTGCTTGCTGTAATTCTTCTTTCCGTTTTCTGATATCTCTAGTTTTTCCTGTAACTGTGTCACTTCTGACTGAAGTTCTTGTATTCTGAAACATAGCAATATTCTGTTTATGTAGATTCATGAATGAGCCCTCCATGCACAATAGTTCAATACTGTTATTTTCTCTTTGCTCCTGAATGGAAATATTTCACCAAAAAGAAAACTGTTTTGCTGATACAAAATATTAATATAGAAACTATTGTTTGAGATACTGTGGCAGGCCAATCTTGCCTGGCTGTCAGACCCTCACTCATCCTCTCACTCCATCTCCTGAAAAGGAAAGTGGGATAAAGACTTGAGGAAGATTAATTTGTTAGCAATTGAGTAGGATAATAAGAAACAACGACAAATCAAGACCATCTTCCACCCACCTCCATTTCCTAGGCTCAACCTTCATCCCCCACTATTCTACCTCCTGTTCTCAAGAAGTTGCCCCCCACAGCCAACTCCCCAAACTTTATTGTTCAGTATGTCACCACAGGATATGGGACAACCCTTTGGCCAGTATGGATCAGCTGTCCTAGTGCTGTCTCCTCCCAGCTCCTTGCTGGCAGTGCAGCACAGGAAGCTGATACGTCCTTGGCTCTGTGTAAGCACTGCTTAGCAACAACTAAAGCAATGGTGCTACCAACACTGTTCTCATCCTAAATCCAGAAGACAGCACCATTCTAGTGACTAGGAAGAAAATTCATTCCATCACAGCAAAAAACAGGCCATCATTCTTTAAAAACTGTTTCAGCATGCATCCTTTCCAAGGGTTACAGTCCACCTAAAACAGACAGCTGTAGTATATGTGCCCCATCTCTCACAGTTCCTGCCATAAAATCTGCCCTAGTATGGGCTCTCCATGGGCCACAGGTCCTGCCAGGAGCCTGTTCCAATGTGGCTTTTCTTTCCACAGACTGCAGCCTCCTTCAGAGCATATCCACTTGTTCAGGTGTTTTCTCACTCCTCCCTCTAATAGCTGCTTTTCTTTTTTTTTTTTTTTTCAAACTTGTTCTCAAGTAGTTCACAGAAGCACCATTAGTTTGGCTGATGGGCTCAGCTCTGGCTATTGGTGGGCTCATTCTGGAGCCAGCTGAAGAAGTCAGCTGTGTCTGGCACAGGACAGTCCTTGATCTCCTCTCACAAAGGCCACTCCTGCAATTTCCTCACTAACAAAACCTTATCAAGTAAATCCACTTACAGGCATACTCAGAATTAGAAAAATTGTATTGAACCTTTTGTAATGTAGGTTTCCAAGCCAAAAATAGTATTGCATAAATGAGAATATGCTAGCCTTCCACTATAAACACAAAAGATCAGTTTCTTCCTGCACAAAATGTTATGCCTAGTTTTTTTCCAGAATCCCTTGCTTAACATTCAGTGCAAGAGTAAATCCTGTATAGAAATCTTAACAGAAATCCTTTAAGCATATAAGTAGCATATTAAATATCATTGCAATTTCAACAGAAGCAGCAAGGTCAATCACTAAGTAAAATCCCATTTAAGAACTATAAAGTTCTCAAAACATCACGAAACCTTTTTCCTTGGGCAAACTTGAAAGGCAGAAGGAGGTGTTGAAGTCACAGCAGCGGATATTTAACGCCTAACTTTAACATTTAAAAATTCTTTAGATTACCGATTATCAGCCACCTGAAGAAGGTCTGCAATGTACGGGTCCTCTGGCTGAGGCACTGGATAGGCACTAACAGCTGATGGAGGGACAGGCTGGTCTATCTGCATGCGTTGACGCCTGAATGGGATGTTTCTCTTTTTGCCACCTGAAAAAGCCAAAGTCGAATAGCTATTACATGATGTTAAAGCAAGAGAGTCTTCACCTTTTATACAAAGTGCGATTCTATATTTATTCACTGCTTCTGAACTGACATAAAGCATCATTTTAATCTGAGTGAAATAAGTTAATAAAATTTGTACAATCCAGACATCATTCCTGTAGATAGCATTGGTTTTGCTGAAGTTCAGTTTTAAAATAAGGAAATAGGCAAAGTCTAGTACAAGTCAATTGCTCTAGTGCTTAAGTCTCAAAATAGTTTACAGCTTGAACCTGCTGAATCTGTAACCGATTTACCTTCCTTCCAGCTTAAACACTATCTATATGCATTAAAAGTCTTTAATAATAATGGCACAAATAAAGCCTTTGGCTCTTTGAAGAAAACAAATGTGCATTCAGCAACAGAGAGAGAAAGCAAGAAGACAGAAAACAGGGAAATTAAGGAGCAAAGGACAGGAACAGATTTACTAACAAAAGAAAGGATACAGAAGCAGTGGTCATTTGGCACTGTTAATCAGTTCCCCTAGCAGTTAATGAAAACAACTAAAAAAATGCTAAGGTAAAAGATCACAAAAAACATTTTGTTTTCAAATTTAAAAGCCATTTCATGACTAGCTTAACTTCTGCAACGTTTACAAGTATTCCTTTTCCTTCTATCCTACTATCATTTGTATCATAAACATATCAAGCAAAGTAGGTTATTTGCTTGCATGACAGCATTATATTTTAAAAAAGCAAAATATATTTTACAGAGGGAAAAATTACTCTCCATCAAACAAATAAGTATGTTTAGTTTTTGATGCTATAGTATGGAAAAATCTTGTAAGAGTTGTGAACAAGTAGTTAAGAATGACGAAGACAGACAGAAGTGTAACAGCATCTTTGAAGCAAAGAACATAGAATATAGAAAGGTATGAAAAAGTATGATTTTTATTTCACCCCACTACATTATTATTTCCCTCAGATGCCAAAAAGATGGGTAAAATCAAATGACTTTGAAGGAAATAATTAATTTTACAGTACATTTTCTGTTATTGCCCTTAATTTGAAACAAAATGAAGAAAAATTGAAACAATGGAAGAAGTAATTAATCCAACAGTAATATCCTTAGCATCTTAAGTTAGTAAAAAAAAAAAAAAAATCTTTTAAAGCTGTAAGCTTTCAGAGGGTTGGACCATTTGTCTGCAGACATATTTTGCATCTTGGTACTTTTTGATCTTGGTTAATAAAAATCCTAATTATTCATTTACATAGCATCAATTAGCTATCAAAACACTCAAGTATACATTAAGAAAAAAGACTAGATTAGGAGTAGCATTAAAAAATGGAAATAAAAGCCACTGAGCAACAGCGCCTTTCAGCCATGCTTTAAATTAATAAATGCTTTAATTCTAATGAATTCAAATTTGTATACAAATTTGTCCACAGCACAACTGATCAGATTTCTTCCATACAGAGAGGAAGACTGAATTCAGAGCCCAAAGTTTCGAAAGCTAATGTCATCCTATTAGACGCTGTCATTTTACTTCAGTAATTTTTCTATATGGAAACTTTCTATATGGAAACTTCCTATATGGAAAAAATATATGTATATTCTTAAAAGCCAAAAAAAGATAGAAAAAAAAAAGCCAAGAGAAACATTACCTGGGATTATTTTCACTCACCAGGAGTTTGCACAACTGCTTGCAGATTCTTCTCCTGAAGCTGCTGAATTTTTTCAGTCTTGGCTTTGCTCTCTTTTTCCAGCAGTTTAATTTTATGCACATACTGGTTATTCAGGAATTTCAAGTCAGCTGCTTCATTTTCAACACTCCTTAAGCTGGCTTTCAAGTCTTCAAGGGAGAGAAAGAACAATTTTATCTTTTTTATTCACTAAAATAGGTATTAAAACAATGCTTATATTCTTTTTTCATAATGGAAAGTTTCCAAATACCCATTGGTAAGTTTACATATACCTACAGATGTACACATAAGCTCTAATATATTGTTTTTTTAATAACAAAAGGAATACCTTCACATGAGTCTTAATTAAAGGCACCAAAATTAACAACCACTTACAAGTAGAACTACAAATAAATGAATCTGCAGATTTGTCCACACTTTTGACACTGAAGAACTCTTAAGAAGTCTCATAATTTTTATATTACCTTTAATATGATGATCAGATTGCTCTTTCAGTTTTAACATTTCCAAATGCAGCTCATTATTTTTCCTGGTAAGTTTTGCATTCTCAGTTTTATACGGTTCTATAATAGCATCATAATTGCTGCATTCTTTTTCAATTTTTCCAGCAGATAACTTTGCACTGCGCAGGCTCTCAGTTGTATGAACAAGGTCACTAGAATCAAGGACCAGCAGACAAGATCAGAACGTTATCAGCCTTTAAACCATTGCTTCAAATATTTATTAAAACCTTAGAAACAAAACCAGACCATGTTAAACGTAGAACACATAAGTTGCAAGAAAAACAAAGAACATTAATGTAAGAAAAATGCAAAGACAGAAATCATTCACTTAAAAAAAGTATATAGGAAAGGATGGGACAAATACACAAAACAAAGATATGGAAAAATTTACAACTGATAATTCAATAAGCTCACTTGCTTCTATATGCATTAGATGTTAACTATTACTAGAACCAATTTTTTTTTTGCATGTTTAGTCAGATATAACTAGATTACTATGGAAATTATTATGTTCCTATTGCATCAAAGTCATGAAACATCAGAGAAGTTAAGAAGCTGACAAGAAAGTTTGTTCTTCTATTGTTATCCTGCGCAACAGCAAAGACAGCAAACTTAAACTTCTCCAAATGGAATAACAAACAATGGAGTTGTGAATGCTTTATGCTCAGATACAATAGAGACAATGGGGATTATTATACAACCATCTATAAGCGTGTCTTCTAATTATCAGCATAACAGCAACAACTGTTTTGGCTAAGTGGTAAGGTTAGAAAATTGAATTTTCCCTTAATTGTAAATCCTTAGAGACTATCTTAACAATATAACTGATTTAAAATAAATCTTATGATGTTCTTATAACTTAAGCAAACCCACTTGACTCATCATATGCTGAAACCAAATGTTAGCCTTGAAATAAGATTGTTTGAAAATAATCTTTAGGCTAACTATTTCCCTCACATAAAAAAATAAAACAAAAATCAAACAATACCTACTATATGAATACAATGTGGTTTTTTATTTTTTTTTAATCAATAAAGAATCTCCTTTGGAATACCTAAAAAGCTTTTCCACCAAAGGTAAACTCTCCACTCCCAAGGGCTGCCGATAGCCCAGCTGATCCAGACGTTTCCTGAGGTTAACAAACTTCCGCTCCGCTGCTGTCGTCATTGTAAACACAGTTCCAAAGTGGCTTTTGTAACACTGAGGAAAAAAATGACAGCTGCAAAATATAGACTGTTACAGCACTTGTCCCTTAAAGCAGGAGTAAACAGAAACTAGTAATGGAAAAATAATTTATTGTATAATACATAAGCGTATTCTGAAAATTTAGGTAAAGTAAAACAGAATCATAAGGCAACCAAAAAGTTTCCAACATATTTACATACATTTTTTAAAATATTTGCCTTGCCAATTAATTGTTTATCTCTGAGCATTTCCTAACATCAGAAAGCATTCAAGGCCAGGTTGAATGAGGAGTGTCATCTAGTGGCTGGCAACCCTGCGCATAGGGGGGTTGAACTGTATGAACCTTCAGGCCCCTTCTAACATAAGCCATTCCACGAGTCTATGATTTTAAGAGTACAAACACATGAGTTTTCTTTCCAGAACTGCACTGTAAAAAGATCTTTCTATAAAGATGACAAAGAAGTAGATTCTGATTTCTTGAATCAGCCATCAGAGTAGCATCTTTCATAATCCAGACTGTTCCCAAAAAAACTGTATACTTTTTATCTTTCACATCTAAATCTTGTTTTTAGAATTTACAAGGCAGTACTTATATTTCTATAGCAATGTTGAGCATTCTTGAATTAGGGACTGCAGTGATTGTGCTACTGTACCAAGATCACGTCTCACAGATCCATCTTACTGCAGAAGTAAGGTGATAACTCTTGAGCCCGTCTTCTCCATAAGAATTAGATGAGTTAAAAAAATTAATTACAGCTGCTCATCAGGCTTGATTTAAGAACATATGTTTTGGAAAGAAAAAGGATTTTTCCACTAATCACCTTGAGAAAGTTTCACAGTAACAGCAAGAGCAAAACTGCTTTATAGCAAGTAAGGGAATAAAGGTTTTTGTACAGTAACAATGCTTGTTTGTGCTCCAGTATGACCAAGAAGTGGATACAGGATTTTGTTAAACCACTGAAACCAACATTTAAGTGAGGTGTCATTCCTAAATGTAGTCTAGGATTAAGAGATACCAAGAACTCTTAGGATGAATCACTGTCACGCCTTTCTCCTTTCTTAAGATTGAGAAATTTGTATCAATTCATTCTTACTACCTTAATTAAACAGGAGAAAGTATTATCTTACATTCCCTAGAGCCACATCTGATAACAAAATTAGTCCAAGAAATGGGTAAGATAACTTGTGGTGTAGGTCCAAAAGATGTAAAGGAATTAAAATAACCAGAAGAGCTGGGGGTTGTTGCTTCAGAGTGCTCACCAGACACAGGATTCTTTAAGGACACTAATCTTTGTACAGTCTTTCGCACAGGAGAGTGGAATCGGAAAGACATTATGTGCCAGTAATTCCAGACCCAGCTCTTACAGATAACCACAGCACAAATCTCACATCCTAAACTCAAGGCCTGTTGCTAGAGCTTACCACATCACAAAGCCTTCAATGACCTCTCCATCAGGAAAACAGGGTTTTCTGGAGATACAAAACGCGTGTAAGAACGGCAGTACGGCTTCAGTACAGCCTGAGCTCAACCCAACTCAGCATCCCGTGCCTCTGACAGCGATCGCGTTTACGAATACAAAAAGCGCGAGCTGCAGGATCAGCCCGCCGTGTAACGAGGCGCCAGGCCGTGTAAGCGCACGGCGGCACACGAACACGGCGCGGCTGTGCGCACACCTGCCCGCCCTTACTCCTCTCCCGGCCGCCCTCCCTCCGGCTCCTGCCTTACCGACACGCTGCTGAAGGTAAATTCTTCCAGGGCAAACCACGGAGCAGACGCCGAGACGCGTCACCTAGGCATCGGCAGAGCACGGAGGGAACTAGAGCCCAGCGGCTGCCGGGCTAATCCGCGCTTCTGCTGGTCAGAGCGCATCGGGCGGCAGCGGCCGGTTCCGCGACAGGAGCCCCAACAGCCCGCGGGAGGCCCGGCCCCGGCCCCGCCGCCGGTTTGAAAATGGCGCGCGGCGCAGCAACCACTTCCGCCCCGTCACCACAGCAACGCGGCACGCGCCGCCGGCCCAGCCAACCGCTGCCCGCGCCTGCCGCCTCGCCCCGCCCCTTGCCGCGCGACCGGCAGCCCTCGCGCTGAGGAGCCGGCTCCGCCTTGAGGGGCCTGGCTGTGCCTACGGGCTTCGTCAAGGCTGCCCGGGCTGAGCGAGGGGAACGTCTGCTGAGCATAACCCCGCCCTCCCTGCTGCTTAACGAGGCTTTCCGGGGCCTATAGTGATGCTACATCACGCCTCCTAAGAGGAAGGAAAAAAGCAATTGAGAAATAGAGCAGCGCTCCGTCAGTACCCAGAGACGGAACCCCAGGAGCAGCTCTGCATTGCCGCCGTTCTGAAATAACACACCTCAAAGACATAAAGAATGGCGATGGACAGATTTTAATCAAGAATGACAGCCACTCAGAACACGAATTCATATTCCCACTGCCTACGTTCCACACCCATATTTCTGGAACGAGGATGGGAAGAGATGTGGCAGTCTATAATGCAAAGTACTAGTAGGGATGGTAGTACCCTTTTGTGTACTACACGTGTAGTGCTTGCTGCTTTTAGCAAAAAATGGGTTATAAATAATAGTATCTGAACATTAGGGGAGGGGAAAAACGTATACAAGTGTTTCACAGAATTAATGCTTTCAAACAGTATTTCATTGCAGTAGAAGAGCAACAGATGACCAAAGGTTTCACTTTGCCCGAAAAACAGGTGAAGCATATACATACACAACAGTTAGCTATACATATACACTGAAATACACTTTTTAAAAAGGAACAGCATCTATAGTGTTTGATTCCCTTATCATACAGGCACAGACTTCGCTAGCTTCTCTGTCCCTCTTTAGAGCCTTAATGAGATTGTGCAATACTGGAGCAGTAGTCTAAAATATCCTGTATAGTGAATTCCATAGTAATTCCTGATCCAGGATAGCAGCGAGCTATCAGCCCTTCAAAGTGCTTGTACTGTCGTATGAACTCATCTTGCATTGAATGCCACACAACCTGCCAAAAAAAAGCACATTTTAGGAAATGACAACTGGTACAATATACTAAATGTGAACTACAGGACACATCAGCTCATTAATTCATTCTCAGTTAAGGTGACATAAAACTAAAGCTTGTCAAAAGCAGAGTTCAGTAAAGTGAGCTACTGCATTAAAAATTCTCAAAGTTTTTTACCTATCAAATTTTTTTAAAGATCATTAATGTTTACATCACTCCTACCAACTGTATTACAAAATAGAAAAAAAAATAACAATGAGGTCACTCTTGAAGAGGTTGCTTCAAAGAAAGCAACCCAAACCAGACCTGCATTCATATTCACACTCTTAAAAGCTTAAGGCACACTTAACTCATCATTTACAAAAGCAAGAAAGTTTACATAAATACAAGATCTAAATAATACACTGTCAGAAAAAGAACTATATTCTACTGCAGCATACAAGCCAAATTTCATGTTAAGTTAATGGTTCATTTCAGTCTAGTTCCTTCTATTTCCATTTTATTTTGCAGAATAGAGATCGCTCACTAATGGACAGCTAAGGAATCATAAAGAGATTTTCTTTCAGAAATTTCTTTCAGAAATCTATTACTGTACTTGAAACCAATCTGTTATGATAAATAAAATCAGAGAAGGATTATTAAAAACAAACAAACCACCACAAAACATTTCAAAATTCAGGGATTTTCAGATGTTGCTGAAGATAGGCACATCTCCCAGAATACGCATACGAAAGAAAAAATAAAGACCTTTCTGCAAGAGATTTTTAAGCCATTAATTAATTTACCTGAAGTAAGTTTTCTTCTTCACAGAGATGTTTATCTACCTTCTTGTAAAGATTATCCAAACCCTTCTTGACTTCTTTGCCAGGATACTCCTTTATAACCTTACGAAGCTCTTGTTTATTAAAAGCCAGCTGATAGCTTACTTCTTCTTCTCGTATACCTTGGGCCACACGAGCTTCAACACCTTCAAAAAAATGCTAACAAACAATAATACCATTACTGATTGTCATAAATACAAACTAATTAACTGCAAAAATTCTGGTGAAACTGCATCTTCAACAAAAACGTGGGGAACACACAACAGCTGTTCATTTTAACAGAAGTGCTCGGCCATAAACATTAAGGAACGGCAAACCAATGCAATACTAAGTAAGAAAGAAGGTAAAACTGAAATTAATCAACTATGGAAGCAGTCAAGCTTTCAGTTACCACCTCATAACTAATACTGAACCAGTCTCAAACTCCTCAGTTAGTTGAAACCACAGCTTGGGAAAGCATTGGATCTTTCAGATAAGCTGACAAAGCATTTGAATTGGAAATTTTCTACTTAAATCATAATTATACAAGAGCAATATTGGCTCATTATTGCCCTCTTTTCTCAAGATTCCTCACCATATTGATCAACATGATAAAAATGGAAAGAAATATGCTTATGAGTGTGCATGTAGAACTGTAACATCATTTGAAGCATTGCACTGGCTCTGGACAGGATGGAATTAATTTTCTTCACAGCAGCCTAAATGGTGCTGTGCTTTGGACTTGTGGCTGAAACAGCGTTGATAACACCACAGCATTTTGCTATAGCTTAAGAGTGCTTGCACTGCATCGAGACTTTCCACACATATCCTGTCCTCCCTGTCTCCTTCCACAGTAGACTGGCAATGGGCAAGAAGCTGGGAGGGGACACAGCTGGGGCAGCTGAGAAGCTGGCCTAAGTGTATTCTCTAGCATATAACATAATGCTCAGCAATAAAAAGTGCAGCCAGAGGAAGTGGAGCAGATGTTTGTCCTCAAGGGTGGCTGTTGTTCAGAGACAGGTCAACCCACAGAAAGTTAGAAGTGGTCATAAGCATCTTAATTTTCAAAAAAAAAGAATACATCTTAGACTATTCCGAAAATAAATGGCTGTAAACTGCAAAAGCCTGGAGTCCTGCTTATTGAAAAAAAGCAATTGAAAAACGGGAAACAGAGAGCAGAACTGATTTTTTTTTTTTTCCTTAAAGTTGAATGCTTAGCTCATCTTAAGACATACAGACATTTCCTAGAATTTTTCTTACAGTTATATGAATCAGAAAGGACAGTAATAGTCTCTGTAGCTGAGGTGGAGGAGATTGGTCCAAAGCTCCCAACTGCTGCTCAAGGTAACAGCTGTGGATGAAAACAATTAGATTTTTCATGGCAACGTACAGTGCTGACTACACAATTAATTGTTCATTAAATAAACAGTTTTGAGGAAGGAAAAAAGTGAGGGGAAAAGTAGAGCACTTTAGGCAGCCATGCTTGAGTCTAAAACAGTAAGACAGGGATTATGATAAATAGATCAGACATTGCAAATTAACAATATAAGAGAAAGTTATATATATACTTTTAAATTGTGTAGGGTAGTATATAGCTAGACTGAAGTATACTTACATTTAATTTCTCAAGAGGCTGTCCAAGTGAGTAGACTACATAAGACTGAAGATGTTCAGTGTATTTCAGTTTGGCTTCTTTTTTCTCAGCTTCAAGACAAGAAATTTTCAACCGAGAAAGTGTTGCAAAAATATGATGGAAATTCTCCATCATTACCACATCCCTGGGTGTTTTCTGGCTTTCATTAGCTACTTTTTCAACTGAAAGATATGGGAAACAAAGTGTTTAGAACTCCCAAAGGACAACCAAATTCAGAAAAACATAACTAATGAACAGAGAAAAAATATGGGATTTTATCATAGTGATAACAACCACAGTGTGGTTTTGGTTTGTTTTCTTCTTGCAATTTTTAATTCTCTGTGAAGTACTACATTTTTCTGACTTGTTTCAAAATTACTTGTGAATTAACTATTATGCTGCATTAAACATACTGCTTGCATTAACTTTGCGAGTCATTTTGATATTGTTTTATCTCCATTATTTATTTCTATCCCTTATACTCCCCCCACCATAAATACTTGTTTAAGTTCATGCAGTGAATTTTTTCTCTAAGTTCAACTGAAATTCTTTTAAATCTCATTTAAAATATACTTTCCTAAATTCTTCCTACAGTAGTAATTCTATGTGTACGTTTTGTGTATGGTTTGACTACTAGTGTCTGCCTAGTTTCATCACTTGAACAGTAAATTCTAAAGTACTGAATAGTTAGCTACAATCAATGTTTTTAAAATTCACTGTCCTATCAATTTCTACCGACTCTTTATGAACTGTAGTCCACTATATTGTGAAATGACACATCTTCACAGCCTCCTAATATGTTCAGAACTCCTGTGCTACGATTTCCTCAAATTTTATTGCTAGAACTTTCTTCTTCCTCAGCCTCCTTCTGAAAAAGAGGTAAGTCTCAGTGGTTGGAAAGCACTGTAGGCAGAGTTGTCTCAAGGTATGTACACAAATCAGCGTGGAGAGGTCTCCCTGTTGTTTAAAAGGTAAGGACAACTTTTCTGGAGTTTCATTTCTGTTACTTCACCTCCAGCTTTTTCTTTTTTTTTTTTTTTGTTAATAACAAAATAAATGAATAAAACAGAACAAGACTATTCTGGTTTTCCAGATCAGAGTTGGGAAAACAGGGAGGGTTAGGAGAGACATTCTACTGTGTCAGGCTAAGACACACAGGACCTCATCTGCTATGAAATGGTCAAATTGCTAGCCAGAACACAAGGCTACATAAGGACTGAACAATAATACAACACAGCACTGAGAAGCTGAACAGCATTAGATACAAATGACAGGGATTCCACCCTGTCTCATCTCCTCATTTAAGCTACACTGGTAAAGAAAAGCCAGAAAATCACTTCAGACTGAGCCTATAGTATTGCAGTTATTTCCTCTCTCCTTCCCGAGTCCTGAATCACTTCCCCTGTCATAACCAAAAGTTACTTTACATATATGTGTTAAGGGAAATATCTATGGTTTGCTTTTAAAGATTACATTTTATCAACATGTTTCAACTTGCTTCTGTAAATTAGGGTTTTTTGTTTTTGTTTTTTTAAATCAGTACAATGCTGGTCATGTGCTTTACAATACAGAGTATTAAAAAGAAAACAAAATATTATCAATTAAATGGAGCAAAATGTACCTACATAGGAGGAATTAATTTAGTAAGTATTACCAAATGAGAAGACCTACCGCTGATAAAAACAGCTCGAATAAGTTTTATGTATGCTTTATCCAGATCTCCTCGTCGTTCTGCATTTTTGAAAATTGACTCAGCAAGGGCTGCAAACTCTTCAAATTCAGCAACAAATGGAAGGATCCCAACTTTACTTTTCTTTGAGATTTTTACTTCATCCATCTGTTTCATTTGATTGCTCTTAAATTAAAAGGAAAGAAACACACAAGTTAGTCTCTACAATACAACTCCAAACCATATAATAACTAGTAAGAGAAAAAAATAAACATATAGAAAGTAACATATTTAATCAGGGAGATCATTTTATCTTTTAATTATAGTATCTACTGTTTTTTCTTTCCTTTTTAATCTTCACAAATTTGTTAAAAGTAAAAACTGTGAAGAAAGAAAAGATCTTCCAGCTTTTATCTTCCTTTGCTTACTTATTTAGCATTAAGAAAAAAAAAAAAAACAGAAACTAATCCACAACTTATCCCCCAGAAGCAATTAAGAAGTGATATTTAAGACTTCCATTCCACTTTTCAGCATCAACCCAGCAAACAATTCATTCAGCCATAGAAAGCCTCTTTTAATCTTCTGTTGAATTTTTTTAATAAGTATAAGCTAAAACAAACAAACAAAACCAAAACAAAACAAACAAAAAAAAACCCCACACTAACTTCAAAGTACCTCAAGCATTGCTCTGACAATGAATGATCAGTGTTACCACACTGGCCTGGAGTCAAATTACACTTACAACAATAAAAACAAAAGCAACAGTAACGCAAACAAGTATTTGTACTGAGGTTGCCTTATTAACAATAGCAAACTTCCTTGGTGGCAGAAGCTGGCAAATCTTTCACCGGTAGGAGAGAAATCTTTCTCTGTTTAACAAAACTCTGTGTTTTGTTTAATGATAAAAAATACCTGAACACGTGGATTAGGTGTCTATTCAGCATATTATAAAAATTTTGATTTTCCCTTAAGTCTGTGAGGTTTTTTGTTTGTTTGTTTGGTTTGGTTTTTTTGAAATGTAAAAAAGCCAGAGTACTATTATTTTTTACTTGATCAACTTCCGTAAAAGTTTAAATCTACTACAAGAGTCAGCTAGCTCACAGAATTGAAATTTTGAGAACAAGAGGATGTATTTCTTAAAAATAGCTCATTATTCAAGAAAACTGGAATGGAGAGGGAAGAGTGAAACAACTGCTAATTACTTTTTTTTCAATAAAAAAAAGTTTGGCCAATACAATAGCAACAAAGGCACTCATTTTCACTTCAAATTTAAGCAAAAAGTCTTAACTATAAAATCCTAAAAACAAACTGAAAAGGAGCGGGCTTCCTATAATAGTATAGTTAAAGAATAAACAGAAAAACTAAAGAACTTACAATGCATTTATCAAAGTTCCTTTTGACAGTCACCAAAACATTTCCAAGAGTTGTGCTGAGAAAGGAAGCTGGGTCCACATTTTGTGCAGTCCATACGTGATGGCTCATCTTAACTAACATATAAAGGGAATTAAAGCTATCAATTTTGTCCCCTAGTGCTATAAGATTGTTCAGCTCAGGTTCAATACAACGAAATATTTTTGTCATCATTTGTCGGATCATGTCCTTCCTAGGAAAAATACATAAAAAAAAAATATTAGTCTGATAGTTTACTGGATTAATTGAAGCGTTCTTTGATACATGTTTTTAGGATAAATTTATTGCCTATTTATTGCCTAGTCTCATTTGCAACCAGCATGATTTTTACAGTGAGACAGCTTTCTGAAAATCAACAGTCACAGGTATGAAATATTCCAACAAAACATATTCTGTGTGAAAGCTGCCACACACTTAAATTCAGAATTTTGCTAAGCGAGTTTTATATATTATGGAGTCTAGTTTCACTTTGCAGTTATGTATTTATTCTACTGTAGACAGAAACAATTACTGTGTGCAAGATTTTTTTTTTAATATTTGCTGTTGTATTAAAGTGACTACTTACAAATTTAGAGTTCACTATTCGTTTTCACTAAAAAGGAACAATTTGTTATAGAATTTTACAATCTAAAGAAATTCACATGTAGACTTAAAGAATAAACAGCATCAGCACATACTCAGATGATACTGTCTGTGGAACACCAGACATGTATGAACGAGATAAATTTCCTCCATCCATTTCCTCTGTTTCATTCTGTAAGAACAAGGAGTATATGTATAGGAAGTTGAAAGTTTATCTCAAATTCTATATTCAACTGACAAGTCTGATGAAAGCAATAAAATTATCAGCTTTTTAAATTTTCCCCGCAAAGTAAATACAGTGGTTGGCATGGTTCTGGTATAAGATCTCCAGTCACATTCCCCAGCACTATATGCAATTACTCTTCATTGCCTTCCTGCACAATATCACGAAACAGCATGTTTACTGTGAACTTATAGGGAAATTAGGCCATGGCAAAAGAAACACACCAGTTCTTTCTTAAATAACTTTTGTACAGACAGCCAAAATCCAAAGGTTGTGCTAGCTAGTAGAGAAAAAACTACTCATCACCCAGATCACTTAGTTGCCAGATAAATTCCAAAGTTAACTTTTAAATGGGTCTCTTATGAGACTTGCTCAGTACTTTTAAGTTCTGCCACTGAAGAAAGAGTCATACCGTTGACGTTCCTGAGACACTCTGATGTTGCTGTAGTTTGAAAAATTTACTTATGAAGTCCTGTTCTGCCAGACATAGGGGCTCTAGTTCACTTAATACTTGCTCAAAAATCTAAAGAAATCAAATATTTTAATTAACACATTGACTAATTTAAACCATTACAAATACTATGTTTAATTATTATTAAATATTATTTATATAACCACTATTTTTTTTTACTGTCTATCTTCAGTAAGTGTTAGAAGGCCAATTTTCACTTAATAAAAATGCAAACAGCTTAGAGCTTTTATTTCTAGGAGTGTTACCTGCATCTTAACATTATTCCCCTTCCTATTTTAAATGGATGACAGAATAATCAGTACTTTCCCACAACTGAAAGTTTCTTAGCCTAAGGACAGACATTTGTGCCATAGTGAACACCTTAGAATTTTAACAACGAGCAATAGGTTCTGCCACCATTTTTTGTCCCCGTTTGCTAAGAAGACAAAAAGTAAAAATCTCTCACTGAAGAAAACAAGTAGAAGGTAACTGTTCTGTAGAAAAAGTTTGTAGCTAACTGCTACAGAAACAAATAGCAGGTCTTGCACTGAAATAAGAGTATTCACTGTGATTAGCTTTGGAAATAATTAATCTTAATTAGTATGAGCTACAGAAATTCTCAGGTGTTAGACATGAATAGTCTATAGTGTTTACCTAACATAAATATTTCTCCATAAATATTTAAGGATCAAGACATAGAATAATTTACACAAGTAAAACCAATGGTAAATCTCTTCTGAAAATTCAGCTAAAAAAGGTAACTGAAAAAATCACTATGTTTACTCAATAGCTTGCAACGCTGTATATATTAGCCACGTTCACATTTTCCCAAAAGGTGAGAAAAAGTCATAACACTTGTACAAGATTGTTTAAAAAAAACTATTGCTTTAATTCTAGAAAAAAATGCTGCTACTGTTGTCCTCATTTATATTTAAAAACATTAAACACAATATTTCCTTCCAGGTGGAAAAAAGAGCAAGGATTTGAAGAGAGTGAGAAAAAAAAAAAAAGAATTTTCATTAAAAATAAAATTAAGAATCTCTCAGAATGGGTACTCTTCCTTCCCTTCCCCCTCATGCTGAAGTGTTAATTCCGCTAAGTGAGTTTTGTGTCTTCAAAAGGGTCAGGAAAATTAAAAAAATAATAAAAATAATGATGAAAAAATAGATGCTGTGGACACAATAGATGCTGAAGACACTCCAGGAACAATTTATGTATTTGTGTAATTGGTTAATTGGTTAAAGCTGAAAACTGACAATGACCTTCCTGTGAAACCAGTATAAATAAGACTTCGGGACCATGCTCAAGTCCTGGCTAAAAGAGGATTACACCTTCTTATCTTTCACTTGTGGTTACTGCCAAAATGGAACCGAACTCCTGAACACTTGTACTGAGAAAAAGTCAAAGAATCAGTTGAGTTCCTATTTGCTTAAAAATGCACACTGACCCAGTTCAAAAAATATATACTTTTTTTTAAATAACCAAAATTGATATGGAACACAGTTCTAATACACAGGTAAGCAGAATTCCTATGCAACATTTTTGCTTTACCTTATCAAATTTTGTTCTATCAGCTACATCAAGATCAGAAGCAGACATGTTTCCCATATCTAACAGTGAGGATGACTGAGACCTACGATTTCCTGAACTCTGAACAGAGAGCTTATTTAGGCTAGAAGTGGATCCAGTCAATTTTCCAGAGCTTCCATGAAGACCTGTTAAATAAAAAAAAAACATGAAAGAGGGATGCAAAGGTAGAACAAAATCCTCAAAGAACAGGTTCATTACCAAAGGTAGGACTACTAGCAACTTCTGATCTACTATGTTGAAAATCAAACAACTCACTTTATTCTAGGCTGATAATGCTCTACCTATAAATCAGTTATTTTCTCATTACAAAGTAAGTGAAACACTTCAGCAAGTTTCAAAGTTTACTACAATTCAGATATCTAATCCCACGTTGTAAATTATGAAACAGGTATAAAAGGATTTTTCTAACAGATATAAAAGTCAAATACAGGAATACTAGGGTATTATCCTTGAAAGCTGGGAAGCAAAGATCAGTTATGATCCTTGTGAATGCATACTTCGGGCAAAACTGCCATAAGAATAATATTTTATTCAAAAGAGGGGAAAAAATAAAAATCAAAAATTTTACAGGCACTTTCCACTTTTTAACTTGATTTTTTTTTCTTTTTTTTTTTCCCCCACTACATAGCTATTTTGTCTGACCTACAATCCCAGATGAACTTTGCTGTTACTCCCACCCCTGTGAGCAAAATTAGTGTTCAGACGTTTCTCCCTGATATTCTAGAGCTTTCCTTTGGGTGAGGTGCATTTTTTCTGTTGATGTTTGAAGTTTTCTGAAATGCTGAAACAGGATGAAGAAAGCCAGTAACAAAAACAATGCAAAACAAACAAATAACAACAAACACAAAACCACAAGAAGTCATAAATATTTGACCCAAACGTAAACTTCTCATACTTCAACCATAGAGAAGCTTGAAAGCAATCGTGCACATTTCATTAATTGCTATATTAGCATCTTGACATGACTTTTCTGGTCTAGGGGGCATATGCAAGTCTATGTATTCAATAAAAGCTGAGAGAGTTTGAAACTAAGACAACCTCTTGGGCACAAACACGTCTTTTAAATCAACTACTAGCATGGGAAAAGTAAGAGAGACAGTCTTTACATGCAATACTTCTCTATTTCTATATTGGGCAAATCTGGCTGCCCTTAATTTTTGCCTTGCAAAAACAATGACTCTGCTAATGCTTATTTCATTCAGAACAGAATGCTTTAGGCATTTGGTTGGGTTTCCCATGATGCAGCACTACATCTTTACATTGACACACATGCACTGACAATACCAACTAATGCAACTAGTCATACTCACTCTCAGTTTCCTGTTTGACAGCACTTTCTTTTCGAGGCAGTGTAGCTGGGATGGATTAGGTTGCAAGCATCAAAGACAAAGACAAGTTAAAATGCAGTTTGCACAAACCATGCACAAGATGCAAGTTAAGCTCTAACTGGAAAGAAACATGCAAAGAACTATAAGCAGCAAGTAACTACATGGCAAACACATTTAGTTGGAGAGATACTATCCTAGAAATTGAGAATCTAAGCTACATGGAAAACAGTACACTTTAAGTATTAAACTTTTTCCTATACAGTGTATTTACATACATATTGCTAAAAATATTCTTTAAGTTCTCCCAAATTGAGAAGTCCATTGAATTAGGGATTTATTTGTAAGAGTAAATATTGCATAAGACTCAGTTTTCAAGATCAATCATCATACTGATACCAGACAAATAAATTTAAATGCATTTATGTGGTTTTGTACTGAGTCAGAAATAATTTTCCACCTCTTCAATTTAAAAAAATAAAATAACAGAAACACAGTACTGCAAAAACCATTTGTACCTGTAGTAGGACTGGTTAACTATTTCTGTTGTTAGCAGATCAGGGTGCTTACATTGAGAATACATCTCTGTATTCACGCCGCATCAAAAACTGATGACTTCAAATTTGAAGAGGATGAAAACAGTGTAATTATACTAAAAATAGCAAGTTTTTGTTTTTTTCCTGGTTTATGCCAAATAAAACACTTCCTTCAAGTGAAATTCAAGAAGAAATTAACAGTAAATGGGCAAGGCAAAAATTTCCTTACACCTGTAGAGTACATAGACAATCCCTAACCAGTAAAAGGCGTTTGCATACATACACTAAAAGCAGTATGTGGTATTAGGAAGATTTTGATGAGGATGGATCCCCAAAATGGAGCAGCCAACAGAACCTACTGTGATAGAATGAGCAACAAGCATGTCTTAAATAACAGATGTTCTCAAGTAGCCAACACCATTGACAATTTTAATGTCAAAATCAAAGTTAATTCCAGTCTAGTTTTTAAATCTTGAGTTTGGGGCAGTTTTTGAATAAAGAAGTGTAGGTTACATATATTTAGCTTATGCATATGCCATGCATTTGTCCCTTTTCTTCATTGTCCCCAGTTTCTAAATGCATGGGACCATATGACAGAACATGAAGAACCTATAGGCAAAGATCAGGCCCAGGACAATCAGAGGTATAATAGTAGCTTTTGAGAAGCCACACAATGTAAACATATAAAAATAGTAGCACATTTTCCCACGCTTGATTTAGTAGTATTTAGGTATCAAAGTCTTGGCTTCATCAGAAAAAAAAAGACTACTTAAGACAAGTGTGAATGCTCATGACTGATTTTTTATTTTTTTTTTGCCATAAAAATGCAGACAAAGAACCTTGCATTAGCACAGAATGCCAGAATTCTCCCAGCATCCCCACTGCGTTTGAGGGATTCAAAGAGTAGTGCTATTCCCAAAGCACAAGGAAAAAAAAAAAAGCAGGAACACACACCAACACAGCTTAGAAACAGGTCTTCCTCAGTGTATGAGTACAACTGAGCCTTATACACCTACACTATTTCTTAAAAATTTGCTAATAAGTGATATATTTTGAATTAACTCACAACAAAGTAGCATTGCAATCATTATGTTCAACATGGAATGCTTTGAAATTACACATCATTAAGCTGTTACAAACTAAATACATAACTTGATAATTAAATGAAATCGTACTCATATAACAGCTTTTTAAACATAGATAATTTGCTTTTCCATCTTTGCAAGTGATACCAATAAAAGCACGATTTGTTCTGAGGAGTGACGTTTTATTGGTCTAATACATTATCAAATTAGCTTGTTGCCCTCAAGTACGTGGCCACTGCTAGCCATTTTAATAGCATAATTGCCATTCATAGCATTAGAATTCTGGGAGAGTCCTCACTTTTAGTTTTGGCTTTGTGATTGGTGCCAACCAGTTTTCACAGGACTGCACACTTGGGCCAAGTTTTCTATGTGAGTCAGTCTCCAGCAAAACTCAAACAAGCAGACAGCTTTGTATGACTGAATGTTTAACATTACAAAAGAAATCAAACCAAGAAAACTGGTTAAAATATCGTTTGCTACTCTCTTCCTAGACTATTCTGTGCAAAGTTCAAATGTTCTTGAAATTTGCACAAACACACAACAGAAGCCTTCCCAAGTACAGCTCTTGCACTGGCGAATTGAAGGACTACTTTCTCCGAAATGCCAGATCACAACATTTACAGACATCAGGAATATAACTGCTACAAAAACCATTTCATCACAAACACAGATCACAAATGAAGTGCTAGGATATAATGTTTTAAAAGTCAATTTATATTAGGTTATGTTTATAAAAGTGTTCAGTTCTACCAGTAAGATAGCTTTCCAGGCTTTAGAAATTAAACTGTTGTGACAATGACACATTATGGTACCACTTGTCCTCCATGTCCAACAGTTCACCAAGACTAATCCTTCCAGCTGCCCTCTCCCCCTTACTCAAAGCCTCACCACTATCCCATTTCCTTACTCTCATTACTTTTCTCTGTTCTCCAACATCAACAGAACACAGAATAGGCTTGAAATAACTTATTAGTTCAAGCTGCACCTCACTTTTGAATTCAGAGTTTGGAAACAGGCAAACTATGACATATATAAATATCTTGAAACATTTTGAACCTGTTCATTTGAAAATATATGGTCAATTTATATATATTTCTATACTGTTGTTCCTACTTATTCAGTTTTGTTTTAAAGCTTCACTTCTATACTCATACTAGACAAGTTACTTTATGAGGAACAAGTACTCCTTCAAATAGGAAGACCTACAAGTTACTAATTATGGTATCTAGTTTATGACTACATAGCAAATCTCACACAAGTTTGCTCATGTAGAATCAACATTAAAAATAGCTTCTTCAAAATCTACCTGAAGTCTTAATAAAAGCAGAATAGTAGAAGAAACATATATAAACACATGTGCTACTCAGTCTTTCTTTAACTCCAAGAGCTGATTTTCCAAATTTGTTACAGTAATGAAATAGGATAGTTACAGTAATAAAATTGAGTGATAATTTATTAAAAACTTAAGTGTGAATTTAAAATTTGAGAAATATCATTTCTTATCCTTCCAACTTGCTCCATTTCACAATAATTCAGTTGTAATTCTTTGGCCTCGGGGAAGCTAGAAAAATATCAATCATTTCTTACCCAACTTTCACCTTGCAAAATGTGAACAATTTTAGACCACTATAAAATTGCCCCAAGATGTTACAATGAGTATTTTTTAAGTAAATAATAAAAATCAAAGAAAGATATACGCCTCCTAAAAGCTTACCAAACTTTTTTCCTTCTTTGGTTGTGCCTGTCATCTTGATCTTGGCAACTTCAAAGAAATCTTTTATTTCCCTTTCATATAGACGTGATAAATAATCCATGTAATTCTTAAATGAAAAATGTAAAGTTAGTTAACAGGAATATATATTTACTTGTTTTGATTACAGTTAAATAGATTTTAAAATAAAACAAAACAGTGTGACTAAGTTCTACTGAGGAACTATTAACTGTTTTGGACCTTACAGATGTATCTAACATGGCCCCAGAAACCACTATTGCTCCTCTGCAAGAAACCATTTCTAATATGACACATACAAATAGGATTACACATGGAAGAGCATTATGGAATTTAATTGAAAAGTAGAATGGGGGGGAATTCGGCTTCATTGTTCACAGTCTAGGAGTAGGATGCCACTCCTAAACAGCTTCCTTTGTCCTCCTTAATTACACCTTCAGCACAAAAACAAAAGACCCAAAAAATTCAGGATGTGCAATCTGTGTGTCCTTACTGTAAGACTCAAAATTTATGTTTGTAACACTGCCAAAAAAAAAAAAAAGCTTGAATTTTAAGACAACAATTGGCACAACAACTGAAATAAGTTTGAAAGTTTTCTGTTGTTTAGATCTTAGAGGTACAAAGGTTATAATTTCTTATTCATGGACAAATATGACCCAATATGTTTTTCTCCTCTTTACTTCAGAATTTTCTTAGCATGTATAATACATAAAAACATCCTAACTTTTTTATTTTTTAAGTAGTCCATAAAGATGTCAGTCACCTATTTAACATCTTCCTTAAAGTGAAACTAAAAAAAAAACAGTTACTTAAAAGATTCTAGGAGTCTAGACTTAAATCTTCTAGCATTGAAATTTCCAGAATGACAGTACTTCAATAAAAGAACACTCGTTCTGCTAAGGAACAACTTTCCACTGACCTCTATCTAAACATGTTTTCCACTTCATCTCAGTTTTATGCAAGACAGTCAACAATTACACATACACAAAGCCAAAATGTTTCTATTTGATCTACTTTACAAGAAACCTCTGATGTTTTTGATAGTCAAATGAAATGAAGAGAATAAAGTCTGTTAAGATAAAACGTCATAAAGGTGAACAAGCACATCAACATGAAAAGCGCTTAGTTATTTATCTTACTAGATTGTAAAATGGTAACCTTGCTTTACACAAAGGTTAGTGTCAAATGATACTTCAAAACAGACATAGCATCTTGGAAAAAAAAAATACAGGATACAACAAATATCAAACATGACATTTCTTATTCCAAAGAGAAACAAGAGAATAGTGAATGTAGCATGAAGGAATATTAAGAGTACACACATAATCACAGATAATTCATTTAAATTTCAGAACAGCCTACTGTGTAAATTCTGTAGCATTAATGAGCACTTCACATACCTTTGTTAACCCTTCATATTTTCCATAATCTGTGTTCTTGAGCCACTCCATGAGTTTTGCATAGCGAAGCAAATCTCTATGAAATGGATGGTGATTGGGTAGTGTCAGTTCAACAGAGTGCTGGGCAAGAGTAGAACTCTGATCGTGACCCTTGAATAAGAGAAAGTATTAAAGTAATTCTAGAAGCACAATACAGATGTACTACAGAGGTTCAAAAACTCAAAAAAAGAGAGCATCCCATTCAGAGAAACAGAAGACGACCAAAATATTAGGGCTGCTCTGAAAGTAACGCCTCCTATTTTATTCTGTTGGTCCATAACATCAGAGGCAGCATCAGGTGTATGACAGTAGAAGTTGAACCTTCCTGCCAATATTCTATTGTATGTTATGCGACAGATGGCAGCAGAAGGGGCAGTCTGACAAAATGGCATCTGACATGGAAGTACAAATGAAGCAAAGCAGTGCCACTGAATTCTGCTTAGATGTTTCAAAACCACAGGACTGAGAAATAGCTACAGTCTGTTCATCAGATTAACAGAACAATATTGTTTTAATGAAAATTAAAAAAAAAAATTGTTACATCTGCAACACTTGAATCCATGCCTCTGAACAAGGTACACAGTTTTTTTTTCCTCTTCAAAAAGTTTAATGCAGAGGCTCATCTATCACATTTAACTATTCCAGCCTAATCTTGCAGTGTTTGTTTTTTTTTTTTTTAAAACGCTAATTAATACTTGATTAGCAACAAAGTCACAAAGGGTAAGTTTATACAGAAGACAATATGAGGTCAGTTAGTACCAGAATTTAAAATGTACATTTTTTACAACTGTAAATTTGCAATGTTATTCATTCTTAATAGCACGGGTAATCTGTTTGATAGTAGTTCAACTAATACACATAGTATTACACTGAAATAGTAATCTCTTACCATTTTTAATAATAAAATCCTTGGCGCAGATCATCAGAAAAGATATTCTGTTCAAAAACCACTTTCATTTGCAAATCTAAGATTCAGATTTCATTTGTGATTGCCTTTGCATTGGATAATTTCTACTTGATCATCATTTAAAGGCCAGGACAGAAGGCCTGCACTCAGTTTTTCAAAATACAACAAGTCATTGGAGAAATGTACTTTCTTAAGAACAGAGCTAAAGATAAAAATTTTAACATGCTTTAGAACTTTGATTTCCCTGCAGAAGAAAATGTAGGAAACACTTTTCTACCACTAAAAGAAAAACAGACTTGTACTCTCAAATGCCATTTTCTATGCAATTTTCCAGCATAACTCTATTCTATCTCCTGCAGACTAATAAACAAAAACCAAAAGTTCAATTGGATTAATATGTAGAAAAACTGAGTTAACTTTTTGTTTACAGATATTGCTGTCTCAAATCACTGTACAGTTACACACACACAAAAATTTTCTGAAAGTAAATGTGTCTCTGCAAACTTTGGAGATCAGAGGAATGTTTATCTATCAAGAAAATAAACACTGGTGGTAAAAGCACTGGAACTGAGAGAGGATGCAAGTCTGATATTCTGCGATCAGTAAGGATTTCTTGTTGTAAATACAAAGATGCAGCCACTAGTTGGGTAAGTCAAGCTCAAAAAAATTAGTTGGAGAAGCTTGTATGAAAGCTGATGTACTCACTGGAACTGAAAGATTGGAAGACTTGTTATAGAGTTGAAGGAGGGTCTGAGTAAACTAATTGGAGATAAAAGAAACAATAAAGCAATAAAAAGATTGAAAAAAGATAGAAAAGACATCCAGCCCTTAGGAAACAAAACTCAGGACAGTGATCTCTGAATATTTTAAGTAAAGGCTCAAAAACCTGGGTTTAAACATTTCCTTTCTTCTTTTTTAGCCCTTGAAGTTCAGAGAGCAAGAACTCTGATCTTTGCATCCTCCATGACCCATGAAAGCTAATGCTTTTTTTCAATTAGTCAAACCTTAAAGTTAAAATAAATCCTTATATATGACACATTTGCTTAACTCAAACACTGAATCCACTACAGAGAACTGTTTTTGTAAGAGACTTCTGTAGTCACTATAGTTTGATTTAGTAATACCACTGTCCAACGTACCTCAGAAGTCCATTCAGTTGCTGGTTATGATCACAAAATACACCCAATTTTAGGTTGTATTCCTTTTCAGGATAAGTTCAGGATTGACAATTTCATATAAAATAATAAGAAATGATACCTGCTGAACAAATACGCTGTTCAAATGGTTGGTAAGTCTCCGTGCAAACTGCTCACGCAAGTCACTAAATCGCTGCTGTTGCTGTTTGACTGCATGAAGCATATCATGTCCTAAAAACAAAAAGAATTCACAGAGTACAAACATATATAGTAATATACTGTATGTGGGAACCAGCAGGTTCCTTCTGTGTTTGGAAACAACATCTGAGACTGGCTGGAAAAGCACACAGAATAAAAGCACTACCATGATAAATTTTATGTTAGCTTGTAGTCTAACATTACCTGGACGAAGAGCTACATTCATACACTGCAGAAGGGCATCTGCTGCATTAGTGCAGGCCTCAATGCCTCGAGAAGATGTCAGATCCCCTTCCTGAAGGGCCTTTATATGACCTTTAGCCAAATCCATGTGATTCTACAAAGTAATAGATTTCCTTCAGCAAAAACAGGTTATAACTTGCTATCCTGTTAACCAAGAACAATAAATACAACTCCTCTATTATAAAACCTTACTGAAGTGAGTGCAACAATAAAGCAGAAACAAACAAATGTTAATTTAAAGAACATACAGATATCAAAGAGGGTAGCAACTTAGAAGAAATTTATACCAAATCTGAACAGACACAGTAAACACCATAAAATTGCTTACCACTAAGTACTCTATCTCTGACAGTAGCTTCACATTGTTTGTGTAGCTGAGATGGATTAGGTGATTACTTTCTGAAATTTGATCCATTTGCTCTTTTACACTCTGAAGCATTTCTTCATAACTGCTTAATTTTATCTCAATTTGGTCAACTTCCTTTAGAGCTTCGTCCAGCAACTTCATCAAGATATTCACCTGTTTCTCGGAGGCCATAATTGATTGGATATTTGCCTGTACAGAAAATTATCTCATAAGATTGAGACAGTTTTGCACCACAAAAGCATTTTGATATACTCTTCTATCTAAACCTACGAACATAAATATGAACGCCTATTCTCCCTGCATTTCCACCTTCATGAAAGCTATATATAGAGTATATCCTTTTTATCTTCTCCCCTGTTTATGTGAAACCTTGCAATTTATTTCAGAAGATCTGGAATGTGAATAACAACATACAGGTTATAGTTCTGCTTAAGAGAAGATGTATTTTTAAATACGTAGCAAAACATTAGCTACCTTTTCAGAAAACACTACATAGTCAGTATCAACGAAAACAGTTTGTCATGCTGACACATTGTACATCAGAGGAAATGTTTACCCCATCTAGAACTTGCAGCTCTCTAGACAACTTCTCTGCAAAGGCTTCAGCATTAGAGATAGCGCATTCACACCCTTCCATCATTATTTCAATATCCTGTTCTTCTCTTGCATTTAATTCCTGGTATTCATCCACCGCCTCTTCATCACCTCCTGCTACACTTTGATTCTCTCCGCTTGGAACTGATTCTTGTGTAGAGAAGGAAAGTAAATTACATTACCAAAAGCAGAAAGTCAAAAGTATTTTAAGTGTACTGACGTACATTCAACTATATTTAAATAAATGAATCTATCAAATCACTTTCATAACAAGCACACTTTTTTCAAGTCTTCCACGGGTTTCATTAAGATTTCCAGAACTGGTTCTCAAATCACGCAAAATAAGTAAAATACAAATAGTCAGCTTCCTTTACCACATGTAAAGAAAAGGGCATAGTGCCTCTGTTCCTTCACTTCCCATGCTGGTAATCAACATCATACATAATAGTATTATTCTACAATTGCAAGCAGAAGACTGGTAGAAATTTGACTCTTTTGGTAGACTGAACATAAGGAAATATACTAAAGTTAAATACATCTTTAGCATCAAGACAATTTTTATCCAAAGATAAGTTGTGCAGCAGGAAAAGCAGTACTGAAGTGAAAGTTACATAATGGTGCCTTTGAAGAAAAAGAACTCTCATTGTAGGATTTAAATAGTCACCTAATGACTGAAAAATGTTGTATACAATGTTAACGTAGTCCAGACAGAAACTATGTAGGCAATGTGAAGCATCCCTTATCTCTACTACGTTCATTAGTTATTTAAAGCCCTGTTTTCAAAGAGAGCAAGAGAAAAAAAGCACGTTATTCATGAAAAAAATGCTTACACAGCAGAATAAAGGAAAAAGGTGTTACGCACCTTCTGTGACTTTAGGCAGTTCTGGAGTATTAAAAGGTATGGAAAAGCAGAGGGAAAGGAAGCAGAGAATGTTAGCTAGGCAAAGCATGAACAGTGTGTGTATTTCTAAGTGGAAGTAAGTTTAAATGGTTTAATAACACAAGAACTTGAAGAGGTAGAGGTCAGCGATAAAAGTTTCTGACAACACCAAAATATAGAAATGCTATCCTGTTTTACATTTCTAATTCACATTCCTCTACTCAAATTAGTCTAGTATTTAATATCAATCTTCAGCTTAGCCAGTTGTGACAGAAGTGATGCAAAACACATCTACTCGCTAGTTTTTAGCAGAAATTTAACTATTAAGAGATAGTGAATATAAAAACACCAAATACAACACAAGCAAATAATGAAAAGCCTTTTTGGCATTCAGTCACTCAGATGTGATAGGATCCAGCAGAATTTAACATGAGTCGCAATGTGTATTTAGAAACCAGATGAAAAACCTCATCTGAATTTTAGCATGCTACCTAAGCACCACTTTTAAAAGCATTTTCATAATTCACAACAAGTCAGAACTGGAAGAAAAGAAGATTTTTTTTACACACTTACAGCTACCAAGCCTCACAGGTTGATTTTATTCTGTTCAGAAAAATGATGTCTTAAAAATACAATAAACTCATCAATATTAGCATTTCATTAATCAACTATTTTGACCCAGTTAACAGATTTACAGTATCTAGTTTTCTGTTGGAAAATCTGTTATCTAGTCTTCTTGTGCTTATGTTAAACTTCAAAACCACAAAGGAATAAAATTGAATAGGAAAGAAGTAAGGATTAGACTTTTTTTTTTTTTTAAGTACATCCACTTCATATTAGTAGTTATTAAAATTTGCACTTAACATGCAGATATTATAGAAATTTACCTTCCAAAAGTTGTGAACTAACATTAATAAAGTCAATTTTTTTCCTAAGGTATCTCTGATTGAGTTTCCAGATACATGAAATGAAAGTGTTCTTTTCCACTGTGCTGCTTGCAACCCATTTGTATACTTTGTCAAAATGCAAATCAAATTCAGGATTCTCCTGCAAAAGACAAGATATGTTACAGGCTCAACAATCAAACAATTCTCTGAGCTGCAGAGATTGTTTCTTCATTTAATTACTGAGATGATAGGATAAAATGAAACTACACATATGCCAACCTTGAGCTGATGTACCAATGTTGGCACCTTGATGTGCCTTAATGAAAAAACAAACAAACAAACAAAATACAAGTAATGAATACAGTATATTCTCAAGGAAGATGAGGTAACAATAATACAAAACAGTGAGAGTTTAAAGAAACATTTGACAGCATTGCCTGCCCAGAAACACGGTCCTCAAAATGACTAACTGCCTTCTGATGCCAAAAAGGGTAGCTGGAGTTATTGACAACACAAAACATAACTCAAGGAGACTCAGGGAGTAGGCAAGGAGAAGCTTATTAACACATCAGGACTATACACTTTCAACAAGCTTCCAGTTTCACGATTTAGAAGCTTTAAGAGCTCACCTGCAAACCTATATACTGCTCACTAAAAACGTTTCTGCATTCTTGTAGCCCAGTATCAATAGTAAGGTGGTCATAATTTAAGGGACAACTAAGAATGGAATAGTATTTTATGTAAGGCATGAGGCAGAACAAAGAAAAGCATATTGCTTCTTAACAAAAACACTGTACAATCACTGAGAGACCACTATAATAAACCAAGCAGATGATCAGAGTATTGCTGTTGGGGCATATCTAGACTTACTCAGTTTACCAGGATTATATTCTTGAGAAGCCTGGAAGAAAATGCAGGTATAATCACCACAGGAATGTATGAGCTTAATCCCCCAAAAAACATGCTATTAAACTAAGTTTTAGAGCAATTGGTTTCAGGAAAGCTAGCACTGCCTTGGAACCAAAAGGATGTTCTGAACCAAGCACTAAGCCAAAAAATAGTTACGCATACTTTAACAGCATCTTTGGCATCAACAACAGCAAGGTCTCGAAGTGCCCATGCAGTCTGCCGTTTGTAGAAATCTCCCTTGTCAGATTTTTTCACTTTTACCACATTTACTTGCACCGGTCGTTCTGTTGTCACTGTTAAGTGAAGTACAAGAGTAAATTCAAAATGCAGAAAGTAACAACAATTTCTGCTGTATTTCAAATTCCAAATAGAATTACTTGTAGGGGAGTTCAGTTCCTATGCTTTTTCAGAGCCCTCTGCCTTGAATTCTAATCAGCACTCCTTGCTGTACTTTATTTACGTTGATCAGCCTAGAAGACTACCAGATGTCCCTTCTGAGCACTAAATAAAGCCTGCTTCAGAAGCTCACCAGTCTCACATAAATAGCTTTTAATCTTTAATTCCAAATTACATGGAGATCTAGGAGTAAAAGTACAGAGCTCTCTTTCTTTCTTAATAGAAGCAATAATACAAGTGTAAACTACAACTGATTTTCTCCATAAAAATGGGGCACTATTTATACAGGGCAAGAATTAATGCTGTAATGTGTTGTAAATAAAACTAAGAGAAATGTAACTGAATAAAAAAGGCAAAGATACGCAATACAGTGCGGCATTGCTACATACCTGTGGCACACAAAAAGCAATTTCTCTTCTTTTTGCCTGCTTTGCATACGTTCACAATGCTCAATAAGCGTTCATCATTGGGAGTGAAAATATCCCTCTGTAAAGCATGCTTGATTGCAGTCATTTTCTCTCAACTGAAAGATTTCATGAAGACATACCATATTCAGACACATTCAACACACCTAATGCAAAACACCTCTTAAACTCTAGAAATGGGGCTTTGGGTTTCTTTGTTCTGTTTTTAAAGTTTTGCAAAGACCTGTTTCAGTGCTCTTGCCAGAACATGCTACTAAATGGAGCAGGCAGTTCTCATTCCCCTCTATCCTCACATAAGGGCCTATCAGTTCTTACAGCAATGCAGAATAAAGTGCATCATTGGCAGAAAGTTCCATTTGAAGACATAGGTCAAAAAACAACAAAAAAAACAAGCCTATGATCTTTGACTAGTTTGCTACCTTTCCTTTGGTATATGGACAAAGCTCAGAAACGGAAAACATTTTGGTTTTTATCTATGGTGTGCCTCAAAGGGAGCAAAAGGATATTTCACAAAGAGAAGAAGAAAACAAGCACGTATACATGGGAAAAGAAAAAAAAAAACAAGAGATTTCTTCCAGGAATCAGATGGCTACCTTGAACCTTATACTCCAACCAAATTCTAAAAAAAAATGACTTCTGCTGACAGGTACCAAACAGCCATCATTTACTCATTCTCACAGCCTGCGGCAATGAACGCAGGAGAGTGTACTGCTGGAGATGAAGGAGTGCCATTTACACCTTTCTGTGCAGCAGCAGATATAGCTTAACATTGTAGTATGTAGTCACATACAAAGTCAGACCATCGTGCTGCCCACAAACCGCACTGCCACTCACAGTCCTAACAACACTACAAAGTTCACTTTGTAAGAACAGGCTTCTGGGCTGATGTGGGGCACATAGAAATGCAGGGAGATGGGGAGGGGAAGAAGGTGACACTATAGGCTGCTCAAAGGGTTCATCCCCATTCCTTGCCCCAACACACAAATGAATCACTCTTGCAAAAACAGCAGTGGGAAAAAGGAAAACGGTTAGAAGAAGGAGAAGCTGAAAAAACAAGCTGTTCGGATATGTGGGACACATCAACAGCTTTTGTTTGTTTGCTTTTTTTTTTTTTTTCCTTCTCCACTTTAAAAACACAATATTCACTAGTAGCTCTGATTTTCTTTGGCAGTGACTTGAAGTACACATGCAACATGATCAGAAGAAACATTTGCTCTTCTAGCAAATTCATTTATGACACTTAACTATATATGCTCTAAACAAGAATAAAATCCTGAGAAAGTCATAAAATTTATGGCATAAACAGGTGGTTCTCCAGCAAAGCATGCTGTAATTCCCACAAGAGTCTAGAGAATCTGAGGGAGAAGGAAAATACACTTTTTTGGACTTATTTATTATTAAGGAATTAATACCATTCATTTGATTCAGAACAGGTCCTCACATTACAGATTGCTCCAGGTGGAGTAAGAAGGGCAACACAAAGATGTTTCAATGGTTTTAGCTAAAAAGAGTTCCAATATAGCTCACACCCTAAAATTCCAGTGTGCTAAGAACATGAACACCACATACTGCATGCTGTATGTACTGCATGTACTGATTCATCATAAGGCTGCAGTTACATTTTAGGTTGTTTTTCTCTTGGAGATACATGGGTTGCACTCTCTAACAAACATGTAGCAAACAAAAAAGGGCTTCCATGGCAGTTGAAATGGAAAAGACACTGACTTTACTGCCTACAGTCTTTTATGTCCCACCACATCTCTCAGCTTAGGGAATTTGGCAATTTTTAAGATCACTAACCAAAGGCTTTGTAAAAACAGAGGCCAACATGCCAAGTTGGAACCAGTACTGCCAAGAATACAGAATTCACAACATTTGAACCAATGCTGTTCATGACACCTCTATGCCACTGCAACACTCTTGTCAGCTGCTAGCCAACAGCATTCCTACATTCCTTCCCCTTCATCAAGTGCCAAGCCAAGCTTCTGTTTCCAAACTGCATCAGGTTGTGCTTTTCTCACTCATCAGCAGGAGCCCAAACACAAACACGCAAAGTACTGACAACCTTACACATTTCAGAAACACCACTTCTCCTTCCTGATTTAGGATTTTACCTCCTGTTCTAAACCACAGGTTGCTGTAGCAGACCCTGCCGTTTCAGCACTGACACCCACGACGTGCTCTGACATACAGCCCAACCTCTGCTGCAAGCTTAACGCCGAGCCACTGCCACCAGAGCCTTCACACGGAGCCGCGATGAAGCACGACCATTCTTTATACCCGAGTAGCGCTGTCCCAGAGGAACACGGAATAAGCCGGAGATGAAAGTGCTTCCTCAAACCAACGCTCTAGGATAACAGTAACCAAGCCAGTTTCTAAGAAACGCCCTTAGACACCGCTGTATCTTTCTCTCTTTAGTGGCGGTACAAACAAGGCCACTTATACGTGACACTCATCAGACACGGCATCGCGCCAGGCCCCGACCCTCCCGGCTCCGCCACCGCTCCCCGCGGGCCGCAGGCACAGCCGAGCCGCCCCGAGAGGCCAGACCCGCGGATAGCGCCCCAAGCACGCAGCGCGGGAACGGCTGGGGAGGGGAAACGACGGGGAACGCCGGTACCGCCTCGCTCTCACCGCAGCGCCGTAGCTGACCGGGACGGTCGTGGCGACGAGACAGCACCCCTCCGCGCCGCCCGCAGCAGCCCCGGCCTCGCCTTCACTTCCGCCCACGTGACCACGCAGCACGGCTGCCCGGCTGAGTCGCGCGCCCCCTTCCGGCGCGGAGACGTAATGGCCGCAAAGGGGGTGCAAGAGAGGGAGAGGGGAGCGAGCCCAGAGCGGCGCGGGCAGGGGCGGGGCGGGGCGGCCGCGCGGTGTGAGTCGTAGAATCGCAGATCAATCATTACGGTTGGGAAAGACCTCGGAGAGCTGCTTCAACCCATGACCCGGCCCCGCAGTGCCTGCCAACCGCGTCCCTAATAAATGCAACGATCCTTGAACACCTCCAGGGAGGGACGGTGACTCCACCGCCTCCCTGGGCAGCCCGTTCCAATGCATCACCGCTCTTTCTGAGCAGAACTGTTTGCTGACATCCAACCTGAACCTCCCCCGGTGCAACTTAAGCGTTACCTCTCATCCTGCGAGAAGAGGTCGATCCCCTCCTCGCCACAACCTCCTTTCAGGTCGTTGTGAACAGCGATGAGATCTCCCCTTATTTTTGTATTGCTTAGAAGCTACCACCGTTTTGTTTTGTTTTGTTTTTATTCCTTTTAATTCTTCTACAGATTATTGGGGCAGATGAGTGCACTTCTATTACTAACAAATAATTCCTAGAAAAACCATTATCACATCCAGGTGATGGTAAACAGCCACCCAAGAGAGAACGTGATTAGTGAAGAGTACGTAGTATGGAACTTCAGAGCACACTGAAGACCAAACTAGAGAACAGCTGGAGAGATGCACAAGGCTCTTTTTCACTTCAGTTTTATTTTTGGAAGCATTGGATGGCAGCTATTTAGTTGTTGAATAGATGCTTTTGTTTTCAAGGAGCAAAAGGCTGGTGATGCTCTGGTGTGCAATCATGGGGAACCATTTACTTCTAGATGTGCATGAAGACATACAGCATGCAAATGAACACATGGTCCCCGCTCCACAAAGTGCCATGGTCTGCAGAGCTGATCTTCAAACAGCAGCTTCTGCTGCTAGTGGGACAGCCTCGAGTAGTTCCCCCATGCGTGATGCTGGAGTGAGCTGGCCCAAGGTAGGGGAATTTGCTCTTTGTGTAAATGACTTTGTATCCCTTCCAAAACTGAAATGTCTTTCTTTACACAGTTTTAAACTGTTAGAATAAAACTACAGTACTTGTCAAATGCCTAACAGTCAGTGTAAGAGCACCAAATGGAAGTATGGGCAGGAATTGGATTGAAATCTTTGCCTATAAAATGGCATTAAGCCCAGACAGCATAGGACAGGCATAATGTAATTGAAAACACTTTTGGAAGTGGAAGAAAAGGCTCCTCTGAGCTTCTATTGCCTTAGGATCAGCAAGAGAAAAGGGAAGTTAGATCACAGATTCAGTGGGATATTGCGAGTGTTTCATTTACACTCTGCTTGTTACATTCACCTCCAAACAGTGACAGTCTCCCTAAAGAGAAGCCAGTGAATTTCTTTGACAAGCCTGAGCTGCTTGTTTCAATTTGTAAATCTCCAGCCAAAGTGAGAGGGGGTGAGCCCTCGTATCATGTTATAGCTCTTTTGTTAATGTTTGCATCATATGAGAAAGTTCCATACTAAAATAAGGAAAACCTTCTTTCCTTTGAGGGTGACAGTACAGGAAAGTGTTACCCATGGAGCTTGTGGACTCTCTTCCTCTGAAGATATTCAAAACACACCTGAATGCTTCCCTGTACAAACCTACTGTAGGGAACCTGTTTTAGTTGGACTGGATGATCTCCAGAGGTCCCTTCCAACCTCTATGATTATGTGATTCTGTGATTAGTGCCAGCTCATGTTCTGTAGCACTCCTGGGGCTTCCTTCTCAGCTGCAGATCTCCTCCCAGCCCCTAGAAGGAGATCAAAATGATCACACCTGTCAATAGCACAACTGCAGGTGTAGGAGGGAACAGTCATCATCCATCTGCCAAAGCTATAGCTGTCCATGTCACTCAATAGAACGTCTTTGAGAAGGGGCTGCCTTCAAAATCAAATTGGGTCAATAAGCCTCCAAAAAGAACTGCCCATGCTATTACTGTGAAGTATTCATCAAGCTGGATCTCAGTTGTTTTTGGACCCAATTCTTGCCCAAGTCACACTGCAGGCCTGCCATGGCATTGCAGATACCACAGCACAGAAATCTGAGCAGAAGCACTGTATTCTGTGGCAAGCTTTAGACCTGGAAAGTAAAGAGGCCTGGGCCAGGAGCAGCAGCAGGATCATATCCTGCATGTATTGAAATGGCCAGTATGGTGTGGAGCGAACAGGACGTGGTATGTTAGGAGGATGTGGGACGTTAAGAAGGTGTGGGCCTTTAGGAGCATGTGGAATGTTAGGAAGGTGTGCTATGTTAGGAGAGTGTGGTGCAGCATTTTGCATGGGCAGTTGGAGCACCCAGAGTAGCAGACAGCCAGAAGCAGACACGCAGACCAAGAGCCCACAACGTCTTTGGAGTGTCTTCTGCACCCAGATGAGCTTCCCAAGGAGCAAGAGGGCTGTCCAAACCTCTGACTGTAGGGAGCTCTGAAATATGGGGGCTACCCATGGGACCGAGGTAGATGAGGGGTATCATGGATGCAGATGTGCCCAACTGGTTGATCTTCTTGAGCAGTTGACCAGCAGTTGAGCTGAGAGAAGAGGATGCCAGGCTGAGATGCATGCAGCAGTCAGAGAAGGAAATTGACATCTGGTATCATATGATTGCATGGGCAGACAGACAGCCCTGTCTTTGGGCCCAGCCAGGGGAGGATGATAAGCACACTGAACTGAGGATAAACACAAGCAGGCTGAGGGGGGTGGATCTTTGCCTCTGCTTGGGTGACGGTCTTGGTGAAAATTATCTGAAGTTCATGAACTCCTAAATGGCACCTAAATGGTGTATTTTTTGACACACCATTTTTTGATATGGAAATATATTATGTGAATGATATTAAAAATGCTTTTTTGTTTGGTTGGTTGTTGAGGTTTTTTTTGTTTGTTTGTAGCATGGATCTGCAGGAATCTTATTTTTCAAGTATGGAGAAAAAAGACAAATATAGCACCAATAGATCAGGAGTCACCAACTGCAACTGTATTTCAAAAGAATGCTCTATCAATTATTAGACATTCTACTTTTTTTATTACCATATGAACGATTCTTTCATCCATAAAATAATTCCTTGTGCCTAGTAAGCAAAGAATTTGTTGACTTCACAGAAAACATTGTTAACTTTACAATAATATATTCAAGCAAGACAACGTGGCACAATATATAACTATATTCTGCTTTATACATGCTATTGTAAAATGTCTTTGTACAGCCTGGATGTTGGGCAAATATTTTTTGTAGTGATGGATCAAATGCTGGACTGAGTTATCTCAAAGACATTCTGATAAGAACAACTGCATTTCATAAACCATAATTATAAATACAATCCTTCTCTCTAACAATATTTAGGTGACAAATGTAAACTGTAAATTTTCAAAAATTGCTGAAAATTAGTGTTAATCCATATAAAGTGCCTTCACAACTGTCAAGGTATACACAATTATTAAGTTTTGTGTTAGAATGTGTGTAATTTACAAGATAAGTCTGGAATAAATATTTAACTTATTAAGATAATCAAATATATGGCCTTTTTATATACAAGCAGTAGGTTAACATTTTAAAAGAAAAGTAGAAAGCTGTACATTTTATACAGTTTTTTTCAAATATACCCTCATTTATTCGATTTTATTTCAGCTTTGAATCCAAAGTACATTTGCACAAATGTTTTCAAAGGTGGGAGTCCATGTGAAAGGCAACAGTGAAGACCAAGTCACGATGTCCTTCCACAAAAAGCCATGATGGCAGTTACTCAGAGAGGACATTTACCAGCTTTTGATATTCTGGGAACTATTTACATTTATCAACTTTGGTACTTAGCTGGCTTAGTCTAGAGCTACTCTCTCTGTACTCTTTAGGCTGCCAATAGAGAAAATGAATTTTCTCCTGCAGGAAGTTCTGACCAAAAGCTTCCCTGAATCACCTTTTGGGATGGCACTGCTTTCTCTGTTGACTGTGGGGGGAGTAGCCAGCAAGAAATATCACTGTGCCTCTTGTTGAAATTTTTCCTCTTCAGCTCTTGGTCAATACAGCTTTAATTCATCCTGTATTTCTACTGTAATATTATACTGTCACAAGTCCAGCTGTTATTTTTCTGTTATGGGTGAGATCTTCCCAATCACTCAGTAGAATCCACTCCACATTCAATGCAAATGTAAGTATTAATACACATTTATGTAGTGCACTGAATATGCTAACATAGCTAGACTCTGGTGAAAGTTACTCTCATAATTCTAATTCTATGATTTCTGAGAAGTCCATCAGTCACCTACAAAGTAATTGTAACTAACTGTCAAAAGCTACTGTTTACATAGGATTTCCAGTAGTATGTTGTTAACTCTTGGTCCCGAGGCAGAGAAGAGACATACACAGTTTCCGTTCCCTAACCAGGCCTGTTCATGCACATAAACAAGTTGCAAGAAAGAGACATTAGTGATATTAAAAAAAAAAAAAAAAAAGTTTTCAAAGGTCTGTCAAATAAAATAATTCTGATTGAAAATATCCATTTTATGTTTCTAAGACAATATCATAAGTAATGGAAAGGTCAAAGGGAGCACCTGATATTCAGGAGCAAAAATCACTATAAGTGCATAGGTAAAAACTGGTCCCACAGTACATAAATGCAGAACTCCAGTTCATCAGGATGAGCATTTGATTCATGTATTATTTAGGTAGGTGTGATCTCTTTAACAGTGTTCTGTATTTCATCACATTTGAAAAATGAAAACATGCATCATTCTTGTGCAAAATTCTTTTTTTTTGCTTTATTTTTCCACTCCTAGGATGTAAATGAACTGCTAATGCTCTTAAAATATTTTAAAGTATTTCTAGCTATTCATGAAAAATGATTTATACCTCTATAAACATACAGCAAATGCTGAACTTATCTTACACTAATAACCACCACTGATCTTAAGGATCACTGTCCTTTTTTTTGAAAGCCTCATATATTTCTATTTGCCAGAGTGAAGCCCTTCTAATACATATAAATTAATGGTCAGTTGGATATCAAAGAGGTTCCTTCTTTGGACTTAAGGTAAAATTAAAAAGCAGGTATCGCATATCACTTATTGTCATTTTCATCAGATAATTTATAAAATGCTGGTTAGAAAAATCAACCAGTCCCCTTAATGTTATAAAATACATCTTCAGGACAAAGGACACAAGGAGAGACATAAAAGGTTGGAAGCATAAAAGCATATTCTCATAAGTACTAAGCAATCCCTATTGTTGGATGACCAGATCGAATCATCGTTTAGGTAGGTGCTATCAAAGTTCACAATCTTCAAGTCCTTTTTAAGATACGTTTCATTCAGATTGCTTAGCGTTCGAGCAAAGGTATATTTAGATGCACAACTGTATGCCTCCATACTGTAGACTTTGTGGAAGTGCATATCAAAATATGGGTTATCCTAGAAAAAAATGAGAACAAAATTATTACATGCATTATAGACATCAGAATGGCAATTTCTTGTTCTCTGTTTACCTACTTTTAAGCTTTGTTTTTCTCAGTTTTATGGATTCTGAAAAGTATTAGCTATGGACTTTGTATATTTCTGCTATTCCTATTAAAGAGTCTTGTAAAATTTTACTAATTAACAGTTTATAAGTAGCTGCCCTTCTTTGCCATGAGTAGTTTTGCCTAAGTAAAACTTTCGGAGTTTGTCCAAAGAAGACACTGCACTTTATTGTGATTATACAATGCTGTTTTGAAGTGAACCAATTTGTCATGTTGCCTAAAACACACTTGCCTTGGACTATATGTGCCTGTCAGAAGAAGAATATTGATTGCTCTTCCTACCCAAACTGTAATTTTGTGTGCTTTCAAGCTCCTTGGCACAATTAATACTAGCAACAGCTAAGTTCTACTAAATTCTATGGATATGAATAGCAATATGATGAATATTTATATCAGTGCTAATCACTGTGTAATGAGGAGTTTGATGCTCATTTATGCTTTTCTGTAACCAAAAATAAGATTTTGAACATCCAAGTTATGGAAGGCTGAATAATTTCTGAAGTGTATTTTAGTTTAAAACAAACAAACAAACAAACAAACAAACAGCAACAAAAAACTTAAAAAAAAAAAGTTGAAAGTTAATGAGTCCATGTAGGCAAACAATAAGGTAATCTTCTGGCTGCCTTATGTGGTAAAGGGATAGGAACATTTCCAGCTCCAAGATAACTTGGAGAGTACATAAAATATTATTAGCTTTGGCTATTTTCCCCTCTGGCTTAAACTGCAAAGATTTCACGTGATTCGTGGATACTCTGAATCTGATCTCACCTCCACAGTCTCTTAGGTTCCTAGTTTTAGAGCTGAGAGCAACGCACAAGGGACTGCAGACAGCTGCAGAGATCCTGGCTGACTGCCCATGCAGGAGCTGTGGAAGACTTTTTGAAAAGGGAACAGTTGTCAGGATGGAGTGAGTACAAGTGGAGTCTGTCATTTTCCTTGAATCAAGGCTCTGAAACCCCTTTTGTCGGCTCTTGATTTCCATGTCATCAGGATAATATAATCTGAATTCTATTTCATGTTCGCTTGAAACATGAAAGGTAAAAAAGTAATTTTCTCCAAAACTACATTCTATATGCATGGATGCCTGTTATAACACTTTTCCTACAGTAAGACATTATCTTCAAAGAACTCTTATAGCTTCCGTAAAATAGAATTTAATTCTACTTTTGGTGTTTTGTATAAAATTGTATATTGTATTGCAGCCTCATTTACCCTTCTGTAATTGAATCTGAGAGATTATGACTTTTTTAGCAGTAATATCAGTCATAGCTAGCCAAAGCTCTTTTATTCAGTTATTCAACTGATGCAAGTAATGTGAATGAAATTTAAATTACGTGAAAGATGATGTTTTACATATTGATACAAATTCTCTTAGTTGTACAAAGAACAGGATCCTAAATTCAAATGAAAGGAGTAGAGTCTCCAAAAATGTATTTTCAAATACACTGATCTTAATTCAAGTTTACACCAGGAATTGCGTGTTGTGAATTTTTGTACCCAGTTACCATGAACAAATGAGAAAACATCCAGATTGTCCCTCAGGTCTCAACAGGAGAGATGAAAATTAAAATAAACAAGAATATCTCTCTTTCTCCCCACCCCCCCCCAAGCAATATAAATGCAATCTAGACCCTCTCACATGCAGTAAGCTCAAAAAAAACATGGAGGTTTTTTGTTTTGTTAAAATAAAAAATCAGATAATGTCCTTCAATTGCATTTCAATACTTGTGTTCCAACTTGCAACACAATAGAATTATATTCTGTGTATTTAATAATACATAACACTTACAGTATCTGCTTCTTTTCCATCAATCATCTCCAGATCTTTTAAAAACCACTCTTCAACTACTTCATATTTCTCTTCTCGATCTCGAAAGTGTTTTACCATACATATTTCTACTTCTTCACTTTTAGACACTGCAAGACAAAAATAGTTATGATACGCAAGCAAATACTTCCCAAAAGTTCTAATAATAAAATTTTATAAACTTCATAAACTTCATTTAAAATAATAATTTAAATGACAATGTTAGTAGAAATAGGCCAGTGTTCTCAGCCTACGAAATCTATCTTTCTTAAAGAGATTAAGTGTTTAGCTTACCTATCCCTATCCTGAAAAGGCAATCTTATCATTGCAAAAGCCTCCGCTTTGAACTCACCAACAGTGCAGTAAAGGCCCAACTCCAGCACTGGAGCTGTGTGGATAATCCACATATTCTGGTTACTTTGACAGTGAATCCTTGGGGGTACTAAAGTCAGAAAATTGCCAAATCACTACCAAGGCTCTTGTGAGTATGACTGCTTTCTGTTCTGAGGATGAAGTTCTCTTACGGCGCTATTACTTTTGTAAACAAAACTCTTACTTCCCTATCAAATATGTAATTATGTCACTTAACCGAAGTAACACTGAAAATACTTCTTAAAGCCCCACATTGCTCAGTGCTACCTTTGTAGAAATTACTATTTTCTGACTTAAACAGGAAATGAGAATAAAAAGAGCGTGAAGACATTCCTTGTAATAACTACCATTATTAATTGATTACATTGAGTGCTGTGTAGAAGATCAGACTTCTTTAACATGAAACAATTAGCGTGAAAAGCACTGGAGCCTGAAACAACTCCTGTGCATCCAGCACAGCAACTGCTGGGCAGAGCACTTCCCCAAGCCACCTTGTAGATTAACGTAGCTAATCACTCCAGCCATCACCTTTGACATCATAATGTGATGCTACAGATGAAGGACCAAGATTCTTTCTTAACTAAATTTTGCCTGGAGTTTTGAAAATCCATTCTGAAACTCAACTAAAGTTATCTTATTTATGTTAAAACATGCTTTGCTTCTGACTTTTTTTTATAAGATGGTTACAAAATAAATACAAACAAAGGATTATCTAGCTTATTTCCACTGCAAATTAAAAAAGAGGAAAATGTTTAAATTAATTGTAATTCCCTCAGCCCATGGCTTCTCAAACAGCCTGCTGTGAAATACATCACTAGCTTTCTTTTCCCTTGCTTCTAACAGTCATAGCTGCGCAATGATTTTTAATCAAAAGATCACTAGTGTATTACTTTCTGGGAACAATTTTTCATTTATGCATCTAATAGGCTTCTCATGGAAAGTTCTTTTCTCGCTTTGATTTTCTCCCATTTTGTTTGCTGCCCTGTGAAGGAGTATGTTGTCTCCCCCAGAGTTAAAAGAAAACAAATCTAAATCCAAAAGCCCACAGTCTTTTTCAGAAATAGATGTCCTAGGCACCTCTGAGACCCATAGACTACCTTTCTCTATCGCTCATATATGAACAGAAATTATTCAAAATAAGGATAGAGGCAGATGTGTTTAAGAAGCTGCTCTAGTAAGAAGAATAACGAAGCCAGGAGCATGTTCTGCTCAGTGGTGAAACCTGGGTGGACAGTTTTAATCTATAAAATCTTAATTTTCCTGCATTTTAGATACATCACTGGGTCCTGAATTCAGTTGACATACTTAAAGACAACTTTATTTTTGATAAATAAAATGAGCTCAGATCTACCATTTCACTCTCAAAGATTTTCTTGTGGCAGGAATGGTTATGACAGTGCCCTCAAGAGCACAAATTATTCCTTAATGATTCCATGGATTGAAGACTTTTCTGGATTTTCTCTATTCCCTTGGATAGTCTGATGTTAGCCCTGCCATTGTTCTCAGGCAGACCGATGCAGGCTTGTGAAAGTTCCTGAACGTGGCTGCATTTCGGCTTTGCATTCTTCCAGGGCTTACAAAGAAAGCATTTAACGAAAGGATACTCTTGCCTTCACACAAAAACCTAGATTTGCTTTTTTGAAAAAAGGAAGGGAATGAAGGTTGGGCATATGGCACAAAAATAAGATTGTTCAGTTATCCATGCCAAGAATTTATTTTAATATAGATTTGAAAAGGTATAAACTTCTAAACATTTGCCTACATGTAGTTTGACTAGGGTTTGGGGTTTTTTGTTTGTTTGTTTGTTTTCTGTTATGTTAATTTGAAATAAAAGGAATACAGTGAAGATGTATTGTGGGGATAAGATTTGAGAGAGTACAGAATCACAGCAGATTACAGTAACTGCTGGCAGATGAATGCAACCCACTGTTCAGAATTAGAGTGCTACTCTATTTACTACTCACTTGACTATGCCTGAATATATTAAGAGACTTTAATATTGGATACTATACATACATTTTCCTTTATGTCTTCAGTGACAATCAATCAGTCAAGCTGATTAGAGGCTTTCTATAATGGCTTGTTTTCCTCTACCTTAGGTAGAAATTTTTAGTAAAAATTGTATAAATAGCAAATGTTTTTTCTCCTCTTTGGAAGTTTCCTAACACCAAACTGTTTAGTTCTACTGCACAAATCTAATCACGCTTCCACCAAATTGTTTTATAAACCATGAATCAGGTTGGTATTTTTGTACATTTAGAAGCTCTATAATACTCAGGAATACATGTCTATTTTTGCAGTTCTAAAGTACAGAATCGCTTCTACTAAAATCACGTGGCTGCTAGGAACAGATCTTGCTCAGTGTGTCCATTAATCTGTAAAATACAATTACTCACCAGATGTTTACAAACAAAAGCATCACAGAATATGGTTGTCATCATCCCTTACTGGCCAAAAAAATTCTGAAGTACAGAAATGATTTCTGTCTGCCCTGCGTGTTTTGATCATCAAGAGGAAACAGACTGCAAAAAGCATTCCCTTCAACCCAACTCCTTATATCATAGAATCGCCAAGGTTGGAAAAGACCTTCAAGATCATCTAGTCCACCCACCTACCTATCACCAATATTTCCCACTAAATCATGTCCCTTGGTACAACATCTGAATGTTCCCTGAACACAAGATGCATGAAAATTTTTCCTCTTTTCCATCAGCTTCCGCTATTATGAAAATAATAATTAAAAACATAATGCAAGCAGCCCTGGAACCATGTTCTAAAGTCACTAAGAAACACATGCACTTGAAATCAAATTCAGTAAAAAGCCAGATAATTAATTTTGTCACACAATCTTGCTTTAATCACTGTTCTTGCTAATTACTAATTCAAACATGTATTTGTTTAAGCCAGAAGCCCAGCTAATTGTTACTTAAGTAACCGGGCAGTATGCAGGACTTTAAAGTATGACAAGATATAGCACGAAAGCTCTGAAACAAACGCTTCCTGCAAAACGGATGTATTGTTACGCTTTGTTTTACAAAAAACCAAACCAACAAACTCCTAGTAGAGGAGAGAGCATTGCTCTTTCCAACAATCACTCCGAGCGCTGCCACGTCCCGCACATCTGCCAACAGCTGTGCGGAGATCCTCGAGTCTCCCCGCTGGTTGGAGCGCTCATACTCTCAGGAAGGCGTAGGAAACAGCAGCCCGGACAGCGCCAGCAGGCACAGCCGCCGCCGGGTAGCGCGGAGCCGGCCGGCACCCCGCACCTCGCGCCCCGCACCCACCGCGGGCAGCCCGGTACCTGCGGCGCACAGGTAGCAGCGCTCCGCGCCCGAGCCTTCCACCTCGATGAACTCTTGCAGCCGCAGCCGCCGCGGCCCGAAGAGCCTCTTGGCCAGGTCCTCCTTCAGCAGCGAGGACATCGCAGCCGCCCGGCAGCGAGCGACGTGCCGCGGGCCGCCCAGGCTGCCACCGGGGGGACATCGCCGGGCGCAGCCCCGAGGGGCCCCGCTGCCGGCCCGCAGCCCTGGGAGAGCCGCGAGGCTGTGGCACGGGAGCGGCCGGGTGGCACATCACATCGCCCCGCCTCTGCCCGCTCTCCTCCCCCGCCGCGGGACGGCCCCTGGACGAGCGGCGGTGCAGCTGTTTGCAGCTAGGGGGGAAATGACCGTGTGCTGCTCTTTACGAATGGCAAATGAGCAGGCATAAAGACCCGTGCGACAGGAGTGTTCAGAGGGCGGGTGCAGTCAGGGGATGCAGGTGTGTTCCGTGTGTGAGAGGCTGGATACATCAATGGGAGCATTTTTGGAAATGGTAGCAGTTCTGCCACGCTGTATGTGGGTGGGTAGCATCTGGTGTACTTTTATTCCTCTAATTTATGGATACGCAATAGCCTGTTTTAGTGTTTTAACTCCTGGCTGCATGTAAAATTGAATGAATGAAAAAAAGAAAAGAATAATAATGAGGTTTTTCCAATATTATTAGATCAGTGCCAGAGACTTCCATGGTACTGTGCTGATATGAAGTGACATGAAAGCAGCTAACTGCACCTCCATTCTGTAGGTGCGAAACTGGGGACAATAACCCTGTCTTGTCAACACTAAGTGTATTGCATAGGCTTTTTGGTCCCGTGTATTTGGAAAGATAGTTATGGTTCTTGAATCTATTGATGAATTTTCATCCCTGCTTTGGGAAAGTAATATTGCTCTAAGCTTTAGGTTTGGGATATATGTTGTCACAAAACATAAGCCTACAGACTTTGGTTCCTCACCACCAGTGTTACCAGCATCACAATCAGAAGGGTCAGTGTTGATACTAAGTGCCAGAGACCTCATTAGGAACGTGGTTTTCCCTCAGTCTGTAGCTCACATTGCATCTCTGGTACTTGGTTGTTCTTGTGCAGGTTTGAAGCAACAGATGTAGAGATGCTAAAGTACCTTCAGAAAACTATCTTCAGTTCTGGTAGAATTATCTATCAGTTTTCCCCTGTGAGAGATTCAGCTGATGGCAGCAAAACTGCCTGGCTGGTGAGTGACATGGCACTGCCATTCTGGCAGTGACTGAAGAGCTGAGGTAATGGTTATGTGGAGCTCTGCTCTTCCCGTCTTGGACATTCCTTGGATTATCAGGGAGACATTTTGAATTGGGCTTTATTTTTTTAATCCGATCAAATTCTAAGTCATTTTGCCTCAGTTTTCACAGGAGTGTTTTTTAATTTGATGCATAAGCATTATTTTTGTCTTTGGGGATATTCTGCAATACTGATGTTAAGCTGCTCTGGTCAACAGTGTATGTCTGGTATCAGATGTACCTTAGCTGCTCTGTACTGAAAGCTGTCTGGCTGTTGGTGGGGCAGGGCTGTTCAGCTGCTATCTGATCAGTACTGATGGGTGCACAGCTGCTGTTCTATCTCCCTCATTCTTATATAGGCAGAAGTGCTTGGAAGACCTTATGCTGTGATGTAACTGTTTTCTTTGTATTTCCTCTTAAATCAAATTACATTTCAAAAAAATATTAAAGAGATTAAATTATTTCTGCAGTATGCTTTAATACATTCTCAAATGCTACACCAGGACAGTAAGTGACCACACTGAGTATGTAAAGAGATGTTACAGTGATGATTTTAATGTTGAATATTTTAATAAGAAACAGGAAAATCTGTAATTCAGTGTTGTTCTTGATGAGAACACAGCAGGACAGCTCTGGTGAGCTGACAGTGGGATGGCCTGTAGTCATTTGGACAATGACAATCAACATTTTTTTCATATCTTTTGTATGCTTTATATTTTTTTTTCTCTATGATTTTATTCTCAATGACATTACATTGTGGAGAAACATCTGCCCTATTTTGGAGGTGACTCACAAAATAACTTATTTCTTCCAATTTCTCTGCTATTTTACTGACTTGGATGGAAGGGAAATAAGGCTTAGTGGGCTTAGGAATTCTCCCTACACAGCATGCACAAAGGCAGCTCTTATGTTTCCATGTCTGGTTACCAGCACATTACAGATCTTGTAGGATGATTCTTACAGAAGGTAAAGAGCATCTGCAATGTCTGCACAGTACTTCTTCCCTGCTTACACATTCTTCTGTTGTTTGTTTCCTTGTTCTGTTTCTTCCTGTTGCTTTTCTTCTGGTGTTATTTCTCTTCTCTTTCTTTTTCCCACTCATATTCAGAAATACAATTCTTAAGGGCTTAGAGGATCTTTTTATGACTCATGCAATCCCTCTTAGTTCACACACAAACTGGGGTTTAGCTGAAAGCAGGTGAGTACAGCAATAAGCATGTATGAAGAAGTATACACAAATCATACTACTGTAGGAAATCCTTCTGTTCTGTTCTGTGCAAATTGAAACTTTCTCTTTTGACTTAAATTTAACACCACTCAGAAACTGTCAGTAAGAGCTTTCACCTTCGTATGCCTTCTTGCTGGTGTCATTATTTACTGAGTAGAAAAAGCCACACTGCCACAATCTTATAGAAGATAAGCAGATATTTTGATCTATGAGATTTCGGTTCCACCTTAGCCATACTACTGTAAGTCAAAATCTTGACACTTCATAACAATTCATAGCCAACAGTTAGGCAGTAACTTACCTAGCCAGCAAGGGCACATGAATGGTGGTCCAGGACCAGGCTCCGCTCCTGGCATCAAGCACCCCTATCAGCCCTCCCTACCTGATCTCTTCCCATATATTCACAGATAGAACAAATAAAACTTTTTGTTACCAATGCCATAAACAAACTTAAATCCAATTTAATGTGTTTTTTTTTTTTTTTTTAACTATCAACACCACAGATGTTTGTGGAAGCTGCATACCCCATACCACAGTCTAACTGTGATCTATAAAGGGCCTCTCTACAAAATGAAATATTCACCAGGGAATTGTATTAGACCTTTCTGCCAAATATTAATTATTCCTGTTCCTTTCTGTGCCCTGCCATTTCCATGCAAACTTACATTTTTTCCTTACTGTATCCAGGACATTAATTTTAATAGCTGCAGTAGCAGATCCTAATAGGATAAATCTCACCATTTTTAATCTTTGTTATTTCTCAGATGCACTGTTCTGGGAAAAAGCAATTCAACAGCTTCAGAAGCAGTTTTTATGATGAGTCTTTATATTCCTTTGTATCTACTGATGTGCATTAGTGTATACATCTAAATGATTACCCTGGGGCTTGATCCAAAACCCATTAGGTCAGTAATAAGATTTCCTTTAATTTTGGTGGGTTTCAGAGTAGCCATTAGTTGAGCAGCACAACAGTCACCATGTTTTCTGTTTGCAAAAATGAAAGGATTACCAATGATGTTTGCAATTGTTTTTAATGAGTAAACTTCTAGCACTTACGAAAACAATCTTAAGAAGCAAATAATGACTGCAAATAAGACAAGAAAAGACCAATTTGCTACCTTTTACTAAGGAAAAGAATCTTTACATCATCAGTAGCAGAGGGGCTGTCTTCCCCAGGAAAGGCAACTCAGGAACTGAGAGTGACATTTCCTTATTAAAAATAAGCACATTGACCACGTCCTGCTGACTGTAATAAGGCACGAAAAAGATATCAATTGCTCTGCTCAAAACAGGTGGGAATTTGCTGTGTTCTGCATGATGAAGCACTCTGAAGGGTGTACATTTGTTCTCACAGCTTAAATTCCCAGCAAGTACCACACCCTTATAAAGCAGTGTTCACTGGAGCATTGCTTCTTACTTGACAGTGTTACCAAACAAAAGGAAAAAAGGAAAACAAATATAGGCTGAAAAACCTTATTTACCATTTTATTTAGATTAGGATTTATGTTGCTCTAGCTATTTGTGTTGCTCTAGCTATTTGTGTTTGAGGTTTCAGCCAGGTGTGGTTTCTAAGCCAGTACTCAGTTTGTCGTCTAAAAGCATTCTTCACATCTTCAGGGCTCCAGACTGTGTATTTAACATCTTAAATGAAGTTTTAGAGTATGAAATGGAAATATGAAAGATATTCATGAATATGTTTGTGTAGAGAGATTTCTGAGGCATACTAAATATACATATATATATATAAATTCTGAATGATCATTACTTTTTTCCCCTTTTTTCAATGATTTGCTTTTCTCAGGCTTGTTTTCCCATTGATGTTTACATAGAAGATTTGACTCCAAGTCATGTCTACTTATTCATATGTTTTAACAGCCAGAAAACTTGGATCTCTGTGCAGTGAAGCATAAAAGTAGTTAAGTTGTACAGAAAACTGGAAGAAGCAAAAGAGGTAACACTGTTTCATGCAGGAATGTTATTCAGTGATGTACAGCTAGAGTTACCCATTCAGTTTTAAAGTAGAAGCATAGACACACACATGGGAAGATATCAGTTGGTTAAATTGTACTGCTTTTCTCCTGAATTCTTTTTGTGATCCCATTATAAGAGTGCTGTACTAGCTTCAGGATATGTGGATGCTCAAGCAGAGGATGACTTAAGATTTCATCAATTCTGATAAATAGCATTGAAACTCAAATATAATTGTTTTCCTTAGTGATGTAACTATTCAATTAAACAAAAAACAAAAAGGTAGTATTATTCTCTTTTATTGAAAGGAAGGAGAAAGAGTTTGAGATTTTATTTAACTAAAGCTCTAATTTGTCAAATTTATACAGAGCACTGTAATTCATCATTCTGAAAATGCAGTTAAGACTGTTATTTGGAAAACAATACAATATGCCAAAATTCCACCAAAAGCTTTCCTTTAAACCAGTTTTTCATAGAATAGTAAATAGATGCTATTTTACGGATGAAATTTAAAAACATGGGTTGAAACCTAAAATACACATAAGCAGTAATTCTGTGAAAAATGTACACATGTTCAATAGTACATATTTATGAGCTAAAAAAAATTAGGACCTTCAGCAAGTTAACACATACAGTAAGAGTTTAGGTTTGTGTTCA